TTGCCACTGATTTTCGATATGTTTACCCCGTTGCACGCCGTGACACTTCCAACACCACACTGGCCATGAAACATTTCGTTGATGACTTGGAGAAAATTGGAATCTTTTACAGTGATAATGCCCCAGAAATTGTAGCAGCTATGAGAGCTATGAAGATCAGGCATCAAATCAGTAAAGATTACATTTCGACATCCAATGCCATTGCCGAACGAGCCGTGCGGTCCACATTGGAAGGAACGCGTGCCAATTTACTTCAAGCAGGACTTCACCATGGATATTGGCCTTATGCTGCCAGACATTGGTGCATCATGCATGACACGGCACCTGATGGGACTGGAAAGGACACACCATGGAAACTAAGGTTTGGGACAGACTTCGGAGGACCACTTATCCCGTTTGGATGTAAGGTGGACTATTGGACTGGACCTAGGAAGAAGCCAAAGAAACAGATGAAGTTCGAACCGACCACTGAACCTGGTATCTTCCTAGGGTATGTCATCCATCCCGGCTTCCATTGGAGAAAAGAATTTGCAGTAGCTTCTCTAAAGCAAATCAATGATGCAGATTTTGACCAATCCGTCACAGTATTGAGGGTGTTAAAGATTTCAGTACCCGAGAGGATTGAATTTCCCTGTCGCAAACGTGCCGATGCCATCCGAGACGGTAGCTTGAAACCAAACCAGCTGTGTGATGAGCAGGATGCATTACCGCCACCGGAAGAGCAAGATGCTCAGCCTGTGCGGGAGCCAGGCCCAGTCAAGAGATCAATTACTGATATTGAAGCTGGACAGCCTGTACAACAATCCAGTGCATCCGCAGTCTATCACCAGGGGTGGTTGGAATTTTTCAAGCATGTTGATCACAAGGAAGCATGGTACGAATACGCCAATTGCAAGGTGAATGTTCGGATCATCGACAATCAGTGTATAGGTCCATCTCCCGACTTTGATGCAGCCGATTTTCCGTTTCGGACAACATGCATTAAAGATGATGAATCATGGCATGTCCACGAAGAAAACTTGAAGATTGATCCTCCGATCGAAGACCTTGAAAAGGACATTGAGGTTCATGAAGTGATCGTCACAATATTCTCAAAAGAGCCGATCGACCTGAGGAACCGTGTGGACGAGCCCATCAGAGGAGCTGTACCTGATGCCGAAGTCGAGGTGATCAATCCGATCACAGGGGAACTCGAAAGAATCAAGACTAATGACCCCTCATTCTATGACGCAGGTGGATTTAAAGCAAGAAAATACAAGAATTCAAGCAAACCAAAGGACATCCCTCCATTTGTTTGGCAGGCAATGTCTCAGAAAGAAAGAAGAGCATCGATTGCAGATGAGCAACGGAAATTGGCCCTGGAAGAAAAGGAAAAGAAACGCGCCAGAAGAGTGAAAGCTGTACCCATGATCGGAACTCTCAAGGAATCACCAAACGAATTGGATGAAAGTTTATCCTACGAATTCATCCCAGCTATGCCTGTTTGCCAGATGAACCCTCAAAAGCATCGAGTTAAGTGTATTAGGCTTGGAATCCAATCTGGGGAGAAAGCCGTTAACACTTTGGTGGCTAGGCCAGTGGGGAAAAAGGAAATTAGAGCCAATCCCAAAGCCCAACAAGCCTTAGATGTAGAATGGGACAAACTGGTAAAGAAAAAGGCCTGGCAATATGAAACAGTGGCCGAATGGAAGGTCATTGCCGACAAGGCCAAGAAGACTGGGAAGAAGGTCCATGTAGGAAAGGTCTTTGAGATTTGCGTTGAAAAGGGAAGTGAATTACCCGAAGGAGATAAACTCCGAAAATTCAAAGGAAGAACAGTATTTCAAGGCAACAATGTAAAGGACGAAAGTGCCGATGTTGCCCTGTTCTCGGAATTAGGATCTTCGCCTGCCACCATGGAAGCTGGCAAAGCAGTAGATGCCTACGGAGCTCAACCGGGATTCATAACCCAACAAAATGATGGAGTACAAGCTTACACTCAAGCCTTATGGAAGGGCGTGGAGACGTGGGTGGAACTGCCACCCGATCGATGGCCCAAAGAGTGGCATGGTAAGTTCATTAGACCAGTTGTATTGCTTCGCATCGCTCTTTACGGTCACCCCGACTCGGGGGGACTCTGGGAACAGTACTGTGAAGCCATGTTGAAACTAGTGGGCTTTATCATGCCAGACCCGGAAGGGTGGCCTTCGGTGTTTTTCCATCCAGAGCTCAAGTTGTTGCTTGTCGTGTATGTTGACGATTTTAAGATGTCCGGTCCCAAAGAAAACATGTCAAAGGGATGGAGTTTGATTGCATCGAAGATTGACATGGACACTCCCGGGGAAGTCAATAGATATCTTGGATGCGACCATGTAGCTCAACACAACGTAAAGCTCAAGGTCGAGGATCACCCTTATGCTCATGTCTTTGACAAGTCACTGGCCGATCCGGCCGCGCCTGCCGCCGCCGCGTGCCACAGGACTCAGGATTTCTGGGAGCTCGACACCGTCAACGATGTCTACATGAGACACCATGTGCAGCCAAGGAAGAAACTATTTTTGCCCGATGAAGAAGTGGTTAAGTCATGCCAACTAGCCCCATTTAGATTCACGAATGCAATCCCATGTAACAACAATGGAAGTGAAGTTGAGCAATGGGATACTATTGGAATTGGATCCAACGTGAACAAAGGGGGTAGTCTCAATGATTCATGGGTTGGCACAACATACTTCTTCCCAACATCATGCAAAGATCCAAAGGCTGCCATGGCCACCATCAAGAGGGACAAGTCCGGAGCCAAAAAGAAAGCTAGAGCGGAAGGATTCTCTTATATGGACCAACTGTATGAGAACCAACCCTGCATGCAAAAGCCTGTGACTACATTCACATATGATATGGAGCCTTTCCTCAAATCATGTGTTGAACGTTACATTTCACTTGCGGGCGGGGATGCCAAGCCTTTGAAACAAGTTTCCACACCATTTCATGAAGAAAGAATTGCACGGCCCATTGCCGATGAGAAGGAAACCAAAGGCGTATTGGCTCCAATAGCCGCAAGGGTCCTTATGAAAGTGCTATTTGCAGCCAGGATGGCACGTTTCGACTTGCTGCGCGCCGTCCAAGGCCTAGCAGCTCGTGTGACAAAATGGAGTGCAGAATGCGATAAGGCACTGCACAGACTTATTTGTTACATTAATTCCACCCTGGATCACAAGCAAAGGGCTTTCACAGGGGACAAGGTTAGTGAATGCAGGCTTTGGCTGTTTGCTGACGCAGACCATGCAGGGGAGTACGACAATCGATCCACCAGTGGTTGTTTGTTAGTTCTTGTAGGCCCCAATACCTACTTCCCGCTCACAGCATTCAGTAAGAAACAAACTGCCGTTGCAATGTCAAGCACCGAAAGTGAAGTTGTCAGTGCAAACGTATCCCTCAGAGCTGTCGGTCTACCTTCCTCCGGTTTGTGGGCATACCTCCAGAACGCGGGGGGGGAGAGAGCACCAAAAGACAGCATACCGGGAGGTTTGCCAAGGCATGACATTGAAACCCAAAAAGAATCCAATGGGGAATACTGGCAATTCATGAGAAGTAGAAGATTGCTCGTCCGAGTCCATACAAAACCAAGGTCACATTTGTTCACACCCATTGACATGTCCAAGTCACCCATTAACCTTAAGCGTATCGGATATGCTCGAACCACCGTGATGCTAAAGGATGGAATGGTTGACTTCATGCAGGACAATTGGAAGGTCAAAGTTGACTACCCGATCAACGGGGAGTGGACCGGCAAGACTTTCTTCAGGGTCTATGGTCCCTACGAGTCCGACTACAACATCGAATCGGTCGAAATCCGTGAAGCCATCACCGACTATGAGTTCGTAGGACGTGAGAAAGAGGGAGAATGTATGATCTCAATGTTTTCCCCACGGTCGATAAAAGGTGTTTTTGTAGAGGACAATCAGGCCACCATTAGAATCCTTGAGAACGGAAAATCACCCACTTTCCGGCATACAGACAAAACACAGCGAGTTAATCTAACTTGGCTGGAGGAACAGTTTAAAAGAAGGTGGTATAAGCTAGTCCATGGTCCAAGCATGCTCCAAGCTGCGGACATTCTCACGAAACCATTTGTTAATGCAGAGAAATGGAAACTAGCTGTCAAACTTCTTGCATTGACCCCCACCAAGAAGATTACCCCACCGAAAGCTTTGGCGTCGGCGTCGGAGGCCATCACACCTCCCATCATTGCCACACCAAGCACGGGGGGACCCGCTGCCAAGCCTGATACCAAGAGACTGATCGTTGAAGTTCGCTGTCATCCCGAGTCCAAACTCAGCCAAACCAACAGAAAGTGGTCCGAAGGTTGTGAAGTACTACAGTTCACTGAAGAATTTGATCTGAACGAAGTCGAAAACCAAATGAGGATTGCAGAGTACGTCAACTCTTTCAAAGGTGATGTGAAACCATTTATATGGATCAGCCTACCGTGCACGGGGGGTACACCATGGACGTATATCAACATGAAAAATCCCAGTGCACGTGAAAAGGTGTTGAAACATGTCAGAGAGTTTGACCGACTTTGGATTTCCTTGAAATCGTTTCTTCGGATGTTGAACTGTGAAGTACACATTGCACTCGAGTGGCCACGAAAACGTCGATATTGGAAATTGACCAAAGTTGCAAAGCTGTTGAACTTTTATGGGATGATTGCATATCATTTTGATGGATGTGCTCTTGGAATGGTAAATCAAGACAATGATCCTTTGAAGAAACCTTGGACAGTGGCCACAAACCATGCTGGAGTCGGTAAAGCATTGTCGAAGTTCCAATGCACATGCAACAGGCGTCATGCTCCAGGTAGAGGTATTGCACTCAAGAAAACGGAGGAATACACTTTCCGCATGACAGACGCCATACATAAAGCTCTTACCCGACAGCATCCCGCTCTCAAGCTAACTTGCTGTGCACTCATCGCGCCCTTTTGTTCTCCCGTCTTCGTCATGTTGACTCGTGCAATCCAGATGGCCAAGGCCTGTGCGGTTGCCGGGAGGCCCGCCGTCCTCGAGCGCATCACCCAATGGGAAAGTGTGGTCAACACCCTGAAGGCAGCCATTGCGGTTGCGACATGGGACGACCCACAGGTGCTCTTGCGAGAGATGGAGGGATGCCGCCTACCCCTGGCGAATATCGTCGAGCCGATGCTGGGTGGTGGCAATGCTGAAGGGGCATACGACACGCTCGCGGAGGTCTACAAGAACACGCCCGATGGGTTTTTGGCCATGTGCCCCTACCCGCCGGGAGGCGAGGTCGACCTGCTGATTGTATCAGACTCATCTCTTGCTCTGGTACCTGACCCCCAAGCAGGGAAGGCTTCGTGTTTTTCCGGAGGCGATCTTTTGAAGCCCTGGGGAGACATCCGTGGCATTTACACAAAAATGTTGTGGGGCAAAGGTTTGAACCACATGGTGCAGTACATCCCCGAGGCCATCGATGACATCGAGTCCACCAATCGTGCACATGGTCGCCCGGTTTTGCCGGTGTTGGTCATCGTGGGGTGGGCCGGCAATGATGTATTTGGCGAAGGGGGTTACAGAGGTGTCCATTGGATCCACAGGGCTGCCTACAACAAGTCTGCTGCCGACCGGGAGGTCACGGCCAACTGGTGTGAGCGGCAAAAGGCAAGAGTCGAGCGGTCCGTCAACGAACTGGGCCAGCTCAAACGTGATGAGCCTCGGATCCTGGACATCGTGGTCGTTGGGAACGCTGACGCGGAAATCTTTGCTCTCCCGTCAGCCTACAATGAGACCATGCGGGTCCACATCAGGGCACTTCGAGAGGACCATGGTATTCAAACTTTGGACACCACCTTGATGCTTGCCAGAACTGTGAGATATGACAAGGTGCATTTGGAAGACGACGACATCAACCGGAAGTATGTCACCAACTTCCTCCAAGCCGTCGCTGATTGCCACCTTGCCTACCTCAAGCTCATCAGCGTCGACGATCACTTGAGAACGCTCCCAAGAATTGACGATCTCCAGGAGCAGAAGAACTACCCGAACCTCACCATCCTCAAGGCCGCGTACCAGCTTGAAATCGATTCGAATGTATCCTCTCCAAAAGATCTTCCTCAGCGACCTGATCCTGAGAAGCTCATGTTGGATGCAGATGTCGAGATTTTCAACTGGGTGCTTCAAGCTGAGGAGAGCGCCACAGCCTCTGCCGACCGGGAGGTCGAGTCCTGGTTGCGTGACATCCCTGAAGAGGACCAGGCATTGGAACCAATGCACCATGACAACGCTGATTCGGACGATGAGGCTGTCAAAGTTCAGGCCCTCACCATGGATGATCGAATTTTGGCAAGGCGAAAGGGCCTTTCAGAGGAGCACGACCAAGAATGGCAAGATGCCACCTATGCGGCTGAGGATGAAGATGAGGACTTCAAAGGGTGGGACCTCATTGAGGATGACAAACGCCCGCCGGGAGTCGTGGCCAGTGACCCAGTACATGAAGACGAAAAGGAGCTGGACCTTGACGACCTCGAGACGGTGGCTTCGGTGGAGATTGTCGATGAAGAGGAGTTCCACGACGCTGAGGAGGGGCAGGCAGAGCCGATTGATGATGATGACGATGACGACATGGCCGTGATCGACAAGGTCTCTTCTATGCAGGCCTCGAAGTCTGATGCACGGGGGGACCCGGAGCCCATGGATGTTGATGATCAGGGCAACAAGATGGTCCAGAGTACGGCATCGGCGAAGACCTGGAAGACGGAGATGGCCCAGAGCTCGTCATCGGCAAAGACGTGGAAAACTGACATGGCTCAGAGCACCTCATCTGCAAAGACATGGCGAACTGACACCACTGCAGCTGCGTCGGCGGGAGCCACGCCTTCTGACCCGACGTCCAAGCTCAAGCCCAAGAAGAAGGCCATGCCAAAGAGATTGAAGGTTGTGGATGCGGGACATGGGCCAAGTGCTGAACAGTTTGACACGTCGAAATTTGCCTCAGCACAGGATCTGGTTTGGATTGAGCCGGACAACATGGCAGGAGTTCCTGTGCGCAAGGTGGACTACGGCAGGCTTGGATCAATTTCCCATGCTATGTCCGACTACCTCCGTGGCCATCGAATGTTTCACAGGAGGCCATCACCTGAGATTCGGAGGACTGATTTGTCAATGGACTTCAAGGCATTGGTGAGGCATCTCCAAGGAGATTTTGCGCACCTTCGAGAAGAAGAAGTTTTGATGGTTGTGCGCAACTCTCCGATGCGTCGCTTCAGGGTCCAGGTGAACGGCTTGTCGTCCGGAAAGCTCAGGTGGACACCAGTGAGGATCAGGGCCATTCAGGGTCATCGGGCCTTTCTCGTGGAGCAAGGGGGGATGTCAAGCATGATCAAAACGATGTTCACTTTTGATGAGAACTTCGACCAGACCAAGATCGACGACCCAACGGTCCACCCCGCATTCTCCGCGATGCCGGAAGGCTCGCCTGTGTGGCACAAGTTCCCCAGAGTGGTGTATCACACCTGTGACCAAGCCGCCTTCAATTCCATCATCAAGCACGGCCTGATCCCTGGCGGATTCCCGTACAAAACGGGCAGAGCCCACAACTTTTTCAACTCCACTCCGCCCTGGAAAGCGGAAATGAAAAAGTTGCAAGGTACGCGGGCCGGGAGGCCAATCGCCATCGCGTTTGACATGGAGCTCATGATGCAAATGGGCTACAAACTTTTCGCGACTGACGAGGCCATCCTGTCGCCGGACTGGATCTCGAACCAGCCGATGATCAACGCCTTTGATATGCGTTCGGGCGAATTTTTCTTTATCAACAGGGCTTATGTCAACCATCGGAAGACTTACCAGGAAGTCCTCAAGCAGGCCAAGGCCGAGTTTGATCCGACGGATGTTCTCATGAGCCGCATGGAAATGTTGATGGAAAATGCCCAGTTGAACTTTGAAGGCATCAAAGAGCGCATTGAGTTCGGCAAGCTCCTCCCCTTTTCCAGGCGTGAAGACATTGAAGTCGAGAAGAGTACTGCCACCCGGGAGGGTGAGCCGGCATCAGGTTCTCAGCTGGTGCCCGGCTACACCGTTGGAAAGATGGCCGCCATGACAAGCACGGATGCCTGTGGCTTCCAACGTCGTGGACGGAATGGACCCGGTGGTGGAAATTGGAGTCGTGGGCAAGGTCGACACGGATTTGAGTTGCAATTCAAGGACATTTCCTACAACCAGATCCAAGACACGCCTCAGGTACGTTGTGGCCATCCGATCTGTGGATATCTGATGGTGGATGGACATTTGAAATGCCCGCGCTGCTCCCGGCAGATGGAACCCGTGACCGATGCCAACATCGCCACGGAAGTTGCCCGCCGGGAGGCGATGGCCCGTACCAGAGGAGTGCCCTTCTCCATGGACAAGGTGATCTTCAACCACCCGCGAAGAGGCAGAGTAGCCAGGCAGCCGGAGAAGGGACCATCATCTTCTTCGACGGCCATCCGGACCAGAAGCACCTATGGCAACTTGAGAGACATGGCCAAGAACTACGTCAGATCTTTCAAGAAAAGGGGCTTCAAAGACCTTGTTGACCGACTCGTCCGCGACCCGTTCTTTCAGTTCAATGCGGCGAATCAAAACTTGGTGCCGGAGGCCTTGCTCTTCATTGAGCGTTTGGCTGGCTGCGTGAGCCCGACCATTGAGCGCACCAAAGCTCAGGTTCTTGGTGAAAAGCTTGAAATGGCCACCAAGTTGATCTTTGTGCCATCGTCGGAGCGGGAGCCCGACCAACCCTTGGATCTTCACACCGAGGTGTTTGTGTCGCATCGGGGCGTCTTTCTCGACATTGGCCAATTCGCAGTCTACGTGGCGAAGTTCATCAAGCCAAGGCAAAGACCTCTACCCATTGTTTATGGATGGGGCAATCGTGACTTTGTGCCTGATGCTTCAGATGCCAAAGAGATCGCGAAAGAACTGGTGGAGTTCAGCAAGCTGCAATGGTCGAACTTTGCCTCCCAACAGACGCACAAGGAGTCTGAGACCACCGGCGACGACCGGGAGGTCAGTCTTCCTCATGCAAGCGCAGCCATCAGCCGACCTGAACATGAACGACCCCATCACGAGCAGTTTGAACCGAATCTTGGCAAGCCTGCTCGCGGCGGTCCTTACGGCCAGGGTGGTGGTGGTGGAAAAGGTCATCACAAAGATGGAGGACAGGCCAAAGGGAAGGGACAACAGAAGGGGAAGGGCAAGCAAGGCAGAAGCCCACCGGGAGGTGTGGCCTACGGTGACTTTGAAGGAGATTCCTTCTGGGTTCAGGGCTATCGCTACACGTGGTACTGGAATCAACAGCGAGGCTGGTACTGGCGCTGGACCTGAACTATGGGATGACTCGCATTGGCACTTAGGTCATATCTTTCCTGTTTCAAATTTGCTTGCCGGGAGGCATGCCTGTCTATGACAAACTTGGCAGGCATTGCACCCATTGAACAAACCAAAGCTTTGACGCACATTATGCATCTACCCATTCAAGTGAACTTCAAATGCACATATTTCCGCACAGTTTAAATGAATTAAAATTTTACTTCAATAACTTCTCAAGCCGATGATTGGATGTTCAAGGCAAGAGCTCAAATTAATTCACACCAATTTCATGGCTGTACAGTTTTTCCCTGCCATGGTACCGTTCGAGTGGAGTCAAAAGGAATGGTAATGTTCCTACATTCATTTGAAGGTGCCTGGCGGGAGCCACGGCCATGCTGTGTGCAACATCGTGCCCATCTCTGGCAAAAAGAGCCCTCGACGCAATGCATGCTTTGCATCCGTCCATTGCCTTGACATCCGATTCCTTTATCCCTACAATGCATCCGCATCGACCCAATGTATAGCTGTACAACTGTCTTACTCAGGTCTCATCGCGGCGGCAGACTGCAGGCACTGTTTTACCGGGGCTGCCAAGCAGCCACGGTAAACGGGGGGTATTTTTACGGGATGTCATTAGGTAGTATCCGTTACCTCCCTGTAAAGTGTGCCATGTAGTCTACCATATATATCACCTGACCTTACGGCTCAAGGCTCAAGACAAAATAGTGTGTGCGCTTTCTGGTTGATATTGGCTTGATTCCCTGTAAGTATAATTCCACTATGTGCCACTTACCAGGGTCGGTCAATAATATGTGCTGATCCAGTGCAAGTCATTGGATTCGGATTTGTTTAAGTTTTTTAAAAGGAAACACCATTTTTTTAATGGTAAACAACCATAGTTTCCTGCCATTTCCTTAAAGCAATCCATTGATTGGCGATCTCCGTAAGTTGTTCCCCACCAACCGGTTGACAAACCACCAGGGCATGGCCACGGCAGGTGGAGATTGGCGAGGTCGTGAAGGTCAGAGTTCTGAGCAAAGAGTCGGGGCGCGTCCGGGGGCCCTTGATGGCCCTGGTGCAGGAGCTCAACGTACAGGAGAAATGAATAGAAATGATATGTTTGAAGTGGGGAAACCACCAAAGAACCGCCTGGATGTTGCTTTTTTGAGCATTTCAAGTTCAGGGGTTGAATAGTTGAATATATGTTACTATATGTTAGATCCGATAAGGGTTTCACCGGCAACAATGTGGGAAACAACCTAAAAGCGGTGCACGTTTCAAGGCAATGTGGATGTTGCTGATGAAAATGGTCGGTGATTTCAAAGCGCTTGTCATTCCGCCCATGAAGACGGGATGATGATCTTCATCCACTTACCATCTGGTTATTTAACGGTTTGCCATGGAAAATCACCATTTTTAATAGGTAAACCATCTATAAATGGGCCTTTTTCCATGGCTATGTTAAATAACCAGAGGGTAGTAACGGGTAGTATTTATTTGAAGCCCTGACCAGATGAGCGCGGATTTTGGATTGAAGACCTGCTTCTCCATCTTATACTGCTAACTATTCCTACCATACGATGTTTGCATATGTTTGCATGGAACCATTCCCGCCTCGGATTGACGATGACTGGTGCCAAGGTGAAGTTCACTATGTTGCCGGAGTAGTAGAAGAAAACTTCTGGCAGCTGCTGGGGTTCATGGCTGGGTTGATAGTTTAGTACCTGTGCCCATGAATCGTAAGTACAGGTTAGTTCACCGCAGTTGGAAGTGAATCAGCCCTGCTTATTTCTTCATAACCAGGGATATAACCTGCATATATCTACATACCGTTCATGGGGTATGCCACCAAGTAGATTATCTCTCTCTAGGTAGAGATATATATATATATATATATGTTTGTTTGATGATTTTCGTTGCCATAAATGTGGATTTCAGCTAGAAATGAAGATCATCAGCTGATTTCAAGGTTTTGCCAGGAGTTCAGGTTCTTCATTGTACTTTTGATAAATGTTAGGCAGTTGGATTAAGTTTGGTTTGGTAACTTACCCTCTGGTAAACTAACATAACTATGGAAAATAACCGTTTTCAATAGGTGAATCCACTATAAATCACCATGTTCAATAGCTATGTTGAATTACCAGGGGGTAGCATGAGAGCCTGCAATAATATGGGATGAATCATATCACTAAATCATGGGGAGTGTTTCTCTGAGAACCGAGGATGAATCATATCACTAAATCATGGGGAGTGTTTCTCTGAGAACCGATTTGGTCAAACCTCTTCCGGGGGTTCAAATCAACTCATGTGCCACCTTTTTTGGCTCTGAATGTCTCAAAGGGGTGGATGCAACATGAAAACATGCGAGCCTTGACATCTTAGTTGCCGAAGGCCCCCCAAACCCAGGTGCTAACAGTACGTATGTATATAATTACATATATCTATATTATATATATATATAACAATTGCGCGCTTATATTATATATAAGAATGTGTTTGACCTTTATGGGTGTTTCCATAGCTGGTCCAAGAATGGTGGCTCGGTTGGCCGACATGAACCTGGCTCATTGGTCTCTGATGCGATGGGAGATTGTCTGACTACAACTAGGACAAGAATAAGACAGACATATCGTGACATATCATTAAAAAAACATATGATTTGATAGTTCCCGAAGATGAGTTGCAATATGTGCTAAAATGATAGTAATTTAAGTTCAGCGTGTCTGGATCAGCCATGGCGGGTCCTGAAGGCTTAGCTGTGGCTGGGACCCTGGAGCCTTGGGTAGCATCCATCGTTTTTGATGGTTCATGGGTACAATTTTCTGATGATTACATAGATATATATATATATGTACACATAATGGCAAAATAATGAGGATCATATGTTGGGGATATATTGAATATTGGCAAAAAATGAGAAGATTTTATATTATTCGCTCATATTATTAGCTCATAACCCTACGTTGCTATATATTTTATAACCCCAAATGACCCCCATGTTCCTACTAAGATTAAAATACAGCCATTGGATTATCCGGGGGCCTTGGGTCAAGCATGGTCAACCGCGTCGGGGCGATCTCAATCAATGCTTTTACGAAAAGCCGCCCAACCGCCCGAATATTCTTGGTATAAGGAAGCTTATACCCTCTGGTAAACGGTTTACATAACTATATCATGGGAAAACTCACTATAAATGGGCATTTTTTCATGGTTATGTTAAATTACCAGAGGGTAAACATGTTGTTGAATGTTGTGCTTGTCTGAGTTCTCCACATCATTCCCCTTCCATTATGTGGAATATATGAGTTCTCCACTGGTCAAGGAAGATCCCAATTATGGTGGAGATGATGGATTTTTCCACCACCATTTTTTCCCATTTTTACACCATTTTCCATCATTTTACCACCACCCACCGTGCCCAGGATTGGCTCTTCCCCGGCGGTGCTGTCTCGGAGCGTGAGCAGCAGCGCCCCTTAGGTGTGGCGCCCGAGCTGCCACAGAGCCCCGGCCCGGGCGGTGGTGCAGTGGCGGTGCCGAAGAAGAGCAGGCGCAGTGGTGGGTGGCATCCCAGGAATGGTGGTTTTCTATAGTTTAATGATGGTTTCATGAGACGAAATGGGAGTTCATTTCGGAATTATTGGAATTTGATTGGTTGTTTAATAGTGTTTGAAAGATATGATGCGTTATAACCCTTTGATATAATGGGATAATTCAGTAAGTATTGGTTCCCATTGGTATCGTCATAATGGTGGTTGGTCTCAATACTGTAGCTAATAGCTAATGATAGTTAATGCTTAATCATTGGCAAACACGGATAAGATAGTCATGAAACAAATGGATATAACGGGAATTTGCCCTCGGGTAGTCAAAAACGGCAATGGAAAATGGCCCATCTATAGATGATCTTCCCATTCAGATGCCCATGCATATGGAATGTCACATTGCCATGTTTGATTACCGGAAGATAGAGGAGAAAACCTGAATCCAATGGAAAAACCAGATGTTCAGTCAAACGCGGATACTTCATATGTCCAAAGTTGACGAAGATCTGGTAATGGTAAGTAAGGCAGATGAATGATCCCCTATTTTCCATGTTTAGCTGATATTTCATTTCTATCATCTTACGGAATCTTACGCTTGGACACAGTAAGTTTCGAAAAATAACTCCTGGCCAGGTCGGATGAGCCATGGTTCAACGGACGAGGGAATTTGTCAGGCAATGCGGACCTGCTCTTGGATTCTGATCTGTTGGTACCTCGAAGCTTCAGGAAGCTGATCGGGAGCATACCTAATTGGCTGAATGAAAACGACCCCGGTGCCAAGTCACGTAAGAAAATGGTCAGTAGATGTCAGTAAGGGGAACAATCCCAAATGACCTTCTTTCAGGATTCAGCCAGATACAAGATGGGGTTTCCAACACATGGGACATTTTGTCACCGACAAAGGAAGATTTGATTGGTTAAAGATAATTAGTTACGTAAGAAATGTTAAGAATAGTTATATAAACACAAAAAGTTAGGAGCTGACGGCTAGGAGTTCCTCGTGGACGGAGATCTGCAGATTGGTCACTGGTATACGATGGACATCCAAACTGCTACGGCGTTACAGCCTAGCTGGCTGTATCTCACTTGATGATCTACATTGATTTGCCATGTTTTTCTGATCCTCAAACCAGGTAGATTCAGTAAAGTTGGCCATTGTTTACAGGCATTTTACTGCCTGATTCAAATTGTGTTCTATTTTTTCCTCCTGATCTTTCTGTTCTCTCACATTCTCTCTTCTTTTGACTGATTTTCTCCGCGGTTTTCGCAAACATTTCCTCCAAAAAGCCATGATGATCCCTGAAAATCACAATGACTTTCCATGACTTTCCATGACTTTCCCACATTTTATTCATCCAGGGGCCTAAGCTGCGGGGGCGCTGTCCTCAGCGCCACTTCGGCTAAGGTCGACTTCCAGGCTGTGAAGTTAGTGAAGCGCACGCTGAAGGTGAAACATTCGGCCGAGCTCTTCCAGACCCTTGCGGAGTCTGGGCCCAGATGGTAGGCATCATCGAAGGAAGGCCCAACTTTCAGGTTCCAAAATGACCACAGAAATCTATAGAAATATTGGAATTACCTATTAAACATGGTGATTTTCCCATCAGTTATGTAAACGTTTACCAGAGGTGAGTGAAAAACTGAAATACCATAATTGACCCAGATGCAGTGCATCTGATCTATCTGTCTACTTCATTGTCTAATCATAACTAATCATCTAACTATTCATATGGTAGCCTGTTCTATTTTATTATTTTATCATATGCTCTTTTATCCTATCTAGCTAGCTATGTATGCTTCATATGTCTGCAGATTTTTACCAGCATATGTATATATATATTTATAATTATATATATAACCTATTTTGTTTGCTTGAGGGTTATGATTCCTTTTATATGATTGTGATGAGTGGGGATGATTGGTTGGTAAGTATTTGGGATGTGTCACTACGGTTTCCCATCAATTGACAGTGCTGAAGGACCAAAAGAAGAGCCATTCGCACGAAGTTTTTCGCGATCATCTGAGGGATACCGGCGGATAGCGATGTGTTTTGTCAAACATGACTGGCTTGAGGCTGGGTAGCCAAGATGACCCATGTTAAGTTGATTCCATATGATTTCATGTATATATAATATATATAATATAACTTCTTATAATTATTTGCACAATTCCATTTTAAGTGGGTTTAATCATGTTTAATCATTGAATAACGGATGAACGATCTTCACTTCTATCCTTATGGACCAGTGACAGCGGCTTTCGGCATTCCCAGGCCACCTCCGCATCCGGATCGATGCCATGATATGCCACGGAAAATTCTCCGGGCACCCTCTGGTTATGCCATGGTAATCTTTGGATGGCTGGAATATCCACCATGGATTTTCCCCATGGATTTTCCCCATGGATTTTCCCCAGCTAGAAAGCTCCATTCAATGCCAGAATTTCCCCAGCTAGATAGCTCCATTCAATGCCGGGATTTCCCAGTTTGCCATCTCTGAGCCGAGGACATTGATGCCATGAAGCGACTTGGCTTCTCCTTGCACTGTGCACCTTGGCTACGGGATGTGGTGTAAATTGTAAATGGCAAGGTACACGACGCTGTGGTTATTGGATGTGATTAGGGCATTTCGTTGGTAAACGAGTTTCTCTTTTCTTCGTAGTGTGATGTCTTTCTTCAATTATTGATATTATTGGTGTCATCTCAGTTCAATTATGTTTTTCAGTTTTTTAATGTATTTGTGTTGGGTGTTTCCCTCCCAAACAACGCTATGCTCCAGCTGCTTTGACACTTTGGTCGGTATCTCCAAAAACCAGTGGTGAATTTTGTGCCCTATACTTCTCTATACTTCTCTATGGTACAACCTCCCCTCCTGTTTTTGTCACTCCCTGCATTGATTATACAAGTTGGTAATGGAAAAAAAACAACGAGTTTCGCACTAGCTCACAGCTCGCAGATATATATATATAAGTCGCACGAACCATGGGCATGGTGGTGAGCGCACACACACACACTCACATATACAGATACAGTGTTCAAGCCTGCCATCATGATCATGCTTCTGCAGAAGAATTATTTCTAGGAGAAGGATGTTAGAAAAGGGATAATGATTCAATTTTCAAGTTTTCGGTCATATTTGTCAAAAGTCAAAAGCATTCAAGCCCAAGAAAATGGGATTATTAGGCGCTTGAATCTGTTTGAAGATTTTTGTGGGATCTTTGAAGTTTTTGAAGGAGTTTTGAATGTTTTTGTGGGCGCGAACTTTTGCATAGAAAGTGTACGTCTCACACATAAAACAAATTCAAGAGATTGTGAGTTGGCAAGTCTGCCAGTGACACTGGAAAGCTGATTGGACAGCTAACATGGCTGCTCAGAGTTTCGGCAATGCTTCGCTGATGATGGATGGGGGGTGGATGGTGGATGACCTTCTCGATTTGGGACCATTTGTCATTGTGTCATTCTGTTCTATCAAAGGCAATTGCCAACACTGCGAAACCTAAGGGAACGTGTAACATGGGAAAGCCACATAAAATAGACAACAAGGGAATCATGCAAGATCTGCAAGACTAGGGTTTTTGGTCGGGAACTCCAAAAGCAGTCGACAACCTATTAGCTCATAGTTATCCCAAAATAAGTGCTACGAACGAAGAGCTCGCTTCGATGATATGCCTATTAAGAAAAGTACTGTGGATATTTGATATTCCATACCTTATGTTAGTTTACTGGAGCGTAATATCAATGGCAATTTCAGGATCCTAAAACGGAGGTACTCTACTATATAAGGCCACATTTCGCTAAAATGTTCCCTTGCATAGACCTTACACAGATCATGAATTATCTCCGATCTAAATCATATAGATACCTCAGAAATCAATCGCGTTAATCAGGTACATCGGATACCATAATATCTCTGAGGGTGATATCATTAATCTTTCAGGTAAACTAACATAACCATGGAAAAAACACAATTTTTCTTTGGTAAATCCACTATTTCATTCCCCACCCCTTAAAATGTATGGAGAGGAGGAGGGAGGCAGGTATTTTTTCATACATTTCCAACCCCCCTCCCGCTGAAACGGGCATTTTTGTATTTTTAGTTGTGTAAAATTAAGAGATTACCTAAAGAGGTGGGGGGTGCTCCTCATACATGTTCAATATTTGGCCTCAAAAGCTTGTTTAGAAAAAGGTGGGGAGGCGGTTTCATACAATGATTGTGCAAGGCCATGGATCTTTGATGCTCATGGAGTTTTCCTGGGGAATCTTACGAAATAGCATGACGCTTTCCCTGAAATCTAAGTTTGCCAAATTATGGGAGGCCACATACGCCCATGGGTTAATACATTAATAATACCCAAATTTGGAGGAGGGGGGATGCGAAATTTGGAAGGGGGGGAATTGAGATGGGGGGGGCGCAGATGAAGTATCATGAATGTATGCACCTGGGACATCAGCAGCAGTTCCAAGCCGCACATTCATTATACATGAAGGTTGTCTTGAGAAGCCTACGCGTACTAAATGCAATAGTATGCAGTAGTTGTTGCAGCACTATTTCTATGGCCATTTTCAATAGTTTTTTGTATGTTTACCATAGGGTAGTATTTCAGGTACCTTGCTTGATAAATCGCGTCAGAATTTGCAGTGGAAGACCTTCCGCCTGGCCCATTCATACCCTGGCTAGGTCCCCAGCAAAGCTCAGGAGCAAGTTGCTGGGCGAAATCGCTCATGGGGATGGTGCAAAAGATGTTGTTGTTTTTCACCATGGGGAATCTTGGGAATACATCAGATACATGCAGATAGGAGATATACAGTATATATATATTATAGTATATATATATAATATTATAGATATATATATATATATAATAAATATTATATATAATTATATATATTGTTTCCCTTGAACCTCAAAAGTACAGCAATAAGTGTACGTGTTGAAAACTGTTCGTTTTAGTGGAAACGGCGCGTTTTTTGTAGAAAACTGTTCGTTTTGAAATCTAAATACCCTTAAGATCGACTGTTGCCATAAATTAGGCAGAATTGTTCACGAGTATCTTTGGTAAACAAAACCCCAAAGTACAGCTCGCGTGAGCATAGTTGCGCTCGTGTGCATGTAATTGCGCTCGTTGTGCGGCCTCCGACTTGTACCTTTTTCACTAAAAGAACGCCAAAAACTCTTCTAACAGAGTTGACCTGGTGAACCATAAAGTTCAACCTTGTTAAATTGATGAAATCCCATCAATGGCAGCACAACGCTCGTGTTTCAGAAAACTGCTCGGATTGTCAAATAGTGTATCGAAACCCTGTTTGCTCGTTTGAAGATCTAGGTATAGATATATATATATACATATATATATATTTATAGTCTTACAATGTCTTACATAGTAGATTCATACATGTAGATACATAAGCAAAGATGACTTGCTGGTTCCAAGATATCCACAGATCTTTTTCTTTTCAACGTTTTCTTGGATGATCCACAATGGCAATAACATGACCGGAGGGATAAAACCATCAACCAGAACTGTGCATTAAAGATTGTGCAGAACCGTGTGTGCTACCCAATATGTGTTGTTGTTTTTCCTGTTTTGGGTGCTCATCATACCATTTTGCAATGGGCTGTGGCCCCACAACAGTCACAATGTGGGGTTTCCCAGTTATAAGTGGGTTTACAAACCCCATTAGCTATAGTTCAAGGTATCAAAAACCATAGTTACTGAAGTTATAAGCAAACTTAGCTATCCAGGGTGCCCCACATTGCACCCCACACCTGTTTTGGGTATTTAGCATCCTGAGGTTATCACCCCGATTCAGAAGTCAGTTTGCGCACAAGCTACGGGACATTAAAAACCTAACATTGGAATGTAGCCAACAAACAATGAACATTGTAGAGCTATATTGGATATCACCTTCAAAAAAAAGGGAAACTAACATTCCTGATCATGCAAGCGCGCCAACCTTGAGATTCATTCATCGTTAGGTGGATTTAACGCTTTAATACGACCCAATCTGTGGCATGTTAGAGTCACATGGTTGGCCCATGTGGACATGGGAATGTCCAATATAGCGACGTGAACATTTCGCATAGTTCTCAGAAAACATAGAAGACTGCTGAAATCAGCTCAGCTATGTTCGACTCAGCTATGTTTGCAGCTATCTCTACAGCCAGCAAGGATGCGGCAGGGTGGGTCAATTGCCCATTCCAAAAACTCAGCCCACTACGGTCGGATTGATGAATCAATGGGTTGATCAGGCCCTGCGATCCTCCATCCGTTGCAGTTTTTTCTTTGAGACATCCATATTTATTGGGCCCAGTGGTTTCATTTGTTTCATGCTACTGGAAAATCTCTCACACTGTGATGATGATCCTAGGTGTTACTCTCATATGGCTGTGGATCAAAACTTATTAATTATATCATGTTTTGGTGTAATGGACGAAAATGAATATCTGCAAATCGCAGCTATACAACTATATATTTATATACATGTAACAATAATAATAACTAATAATAATAATAGTAATAATAATAATATATATATATATGTATCATTTTTGTTGCTGATGTTTGGTGTAAACCCCACGGCCCCCCGTTGTGGCCTGAGGTCTTAGTTCCCCAGGGAAACACCTTGACCCTGGGCCATGTGCTGCCGAAGCGATGGCTGCTGACGGTGAGCTCAATGGATCTCGTGGTGGGGCTGGGGATATTCCCCTAGGCCTGAAAAATCGGCCTTATCTGGTTGGTGGTTTGGAACATTTTTTATTTTTCCATATATTGGGAATAATGATCCCAACTGACTAATATTTTTCAAAGGGTTGAAACCATCAACCAGTTATGTATGGTAGGTAGCTCCAATTTACTGTAGGTTCCTGAAATGGCCCTTGATTTACTGACTGTAAACGACAAGAGGTTGGAAATTGTGATCCACACTGGATCTACCCAGTAAGCGGATGTAAGCGGGAAATGATCTACACATGACGAATGTTCCACATGTATTTTTTCTGGAGGGTAATGCAACACTGGAGTTTTGAAATGGCAATCATGTGGATTGGTCTGTTTCGACTATCAAGCTAAAAGAAAACTAAGTGCTGCAGCCAATCCAGCAGAGGTTGAACTGACAATATCGCATGAGTTGCAGAACAGATCAGTTGCAGATAGAGACATTCAGTGCAGTTCATTTTTGTCACAGTACCTTCTATTACCTGGTTGGTGGTTTGGAACATGTTTTATTTTCCATAATATATGGGATAATCCTTCCCGTTGAATAATATTTTTCAGAGGGGTTGAAACCACCAACCAACCCTCTTGATGTTTTTTTTGCTATGTAAAATCACCATTCTTCATAGGTCATCAATCGAAACAGGCCGCTCGCTTAGGCTGACCATATCCATGGACTGCTTTTTTTTTTTAATGCCCCTTTGGAGATGGGATCACCAAAAAGATGGAAAGTAATTCTGTACTATTTCATACTATGTCAATAGGATTTTCAGATATTTCACTAATTATATTTTCCGTGCCTATCCTTTTTTTATTTGTTGCTTCTTGCTATGAGCATTTTACATGCACCCCACATCACGAAACAGTATCAACTGATATCATACAGGATACAGGCCATAAATAGAAAGGTCTTCGAAACCGCGGCGTTCCATAGAGGTCTACTACCAAGTGCATCGTCGGGTGGACGTGGAAAGCGCCCTGACGCAGATGGGACTCTTGGCACGGACAGTTGGGAAAAAAGGTGAATTTGGTTCAATTCAGTGAGTGAAACAAATACGTGTAAGATTAAACAGAAACTGATTTTGGTTTGTGAACTTGGATTTTCTCCCTGCTTTAAGCTCTCATTTGGTAGATTGATATGGGCTGATAGCTGAAGTTGTTTCTTATTTTTGGTGCTGTATTTTAAAGGGTGTTGCTTTAGACGGTAGAGTCCTGCAAATGGCGAGCCATATCCAAGAATCCTCATGCATTGGGTAAGACGATCCTGGACTTACCATCGACATGCAGCCCCGGGTAAAAATAGCATGGTTGATTAATTCGACTACCCCAAAGAGTGATGTCAAGTGCTACAAAGAGGGTGCCTCCCTATTCAGCAGGCTAATAGGCTAGGATTTGCCTTAACGTCGAGGGTCGTCTCCAGAGCTAAGCGCCCCTTTTTCACCGGCGATGAGGATATTCCATCTCGGGCTGTCGGGAAGTGGAGGCTGATGCCACTGTGCCCATGGATCAGCTACTGGGATAGAGGAGCTTTCACTTGGCTGATGGGTTGTTTATACAAATTTTCTTGAGGAGGTTTAGTTGTTACATGTTGCTACATGTTGCTACATGTTGTTACATGTTGTTACATGTTGTTACATGTTGTTACAATGCTCCGCTTAGTGCCAATATCATCCGATATCTGTCTATATTTGTTTTCTGCTCAGAAGGGTGTTTGAGGTTTCCTTAATGGTAAGTATATGAGCCTGAGCATGTAGTACGGGAAGCAAGTCCTTTTGATTGTCAACCTAAGCGACACGGTTTGTTCTTTATCGACTGCGACTGCGGGATATTGAAAGATCATCCCATTCATGTTATTCATCCGCTTCCACCCATATTAGATACCCCCCAATTAATGTTGGTGGCAAAATTGACCAGAATGCACAGATTCAATAGGTCCAATACAAAACAACATGAACAGATTCAATAGATCCAATAGATCCAATACAAAACCAGGATTTCCTTTTGGAGTGGTTTTTAAAACTACAGGGCCAAGGGATTCTACCAACGAGAACTGTCAGCTCGGCCATGGCAACCACTGAGCACGCCTTGGCGAATTTGGTCAGCAGGGCACACCTCTGAACCCATCCGAAACCCAATGGTAACTAGCATAACTATGGAACATCACCATTTTTTATAGGTACATTTACATCTAGAAATGGTCCATGTTCAAGAGCAAACCCTTTACAGTTTACTGTATGGTAAAACCGTTAAACCGGTGTATCATCAGCCCACTTAACATGATAAACGTGACCTCGTGGACCTTCGGTTTGGTTGTGAATTGAGGCTGCTGATGCATCGCCACGGCTGTCAACGCTATGGCCTTTGGGTTCTGTCACTGGGACCTTGTCGTGGGCAGCGTGTTCGGATGGGATCCTGGGGAGAAGATGTGGGTCCTGCTAGCCGGGCCGTAAAAAAGGCTTGGAACGAAATCATAAGGTCATGACTACACCATGATTTTTGATATTTGTGCAGTGGATCCTCATATTATAGAGGTAATACCTCCTTGACCTCCCTGCCTGAACACTTGTGCGTCCCACGGTAGTTGCTTGGATGGATACCAGGATGTGATTGTGAATTGTGAAGAGTGTGTTTTTCCCAGCTCTTCTCATGTCTTATCCCTAATTATCTTAATTAGGCATTGACGCATCCAAAGATACAATGGTGTTGTCCAATTGCCACCCCCAAAACGGGACCCCTTCAATTCGATAAGAAATCCTAGCACCATAAGAAATCACAAGTGCGTGGCAATCTTACGAGTACAACACTTCTTCCCGCCAGTTTTTTTCAAATGTGAAATGGTTTTCTCATTTTCTACCTGAGATTTTGCGCTTAGATAGCTGGGAAACCCTGTTGAATTTCCATAGGTGAATCCTCAAGATTTCCATAGAAATCGGTTAGATTGCTATGTTGATTTCTCTCCCATTTTGAATCTGGTTGGTGATTTGGAACATTTTTTCCATATATTGGGAATGTCATCATCCCAACTGACTAACTCATATTTTTCAGAGGGGTAGGGCTCCACCACCAACCAGATAGTTAACCATCATTAACCAGATAATTAACCAGATAATTAACCATCATTTATAGATGCCATTTATAAACCAACCATTTTTCTCTGAAGGATACCCAATCCATCCTGCTAGGCAGGGCGAGGACATCGAGGTGCACAACGGCAGGGCTTTGGACACCGAGATGCGGCGCTGGCAGGCGAGCTATGAGGTGCGGCGGCGTTTATAGCAGACGTGCCGGGTACAACAACCGGTTCCGGTCATGGAAAACATATGAAAAAGCGTTGGGTTTATGATGTCTTTATGTGATCTTTGTGGCATTTCATGGGATTTCATAAAAATGGACTTTTAAATATGTTTAAGTGGGATGTTTTTGTTGGGACTTTAATGGGATATGATTTGACTGGGATGTTTATAGCATTATAATCGGGGTTAATGAGGTTTAATGGGATTTAATTCGGGTGTTTATGGGATTATAATTCATAAATGGAGAATTTAATGGAATTTAGAGATTTGAATGGGATAGAATGAGATATCCCTCACTTTAGAAGTGGGATTTGTCATGGGAGTTTAAGCACCAAAAAAGCTGAAACAATATGAATATGAACAATCATGTTGCTTGTGGGATGGTAATTGGATTTTGCTCCAAAGAATCGGTTCATCCCACGAATCGTACGTAGGTTTGTTCACCCCGGCCCCCTTACTTATCCCACTAACAAAACCAGGGATGTAGTTGCTTCCCAAGTAGGATGAGCCGCAAAGTAGCATGATAAATAAACATAATGTTGGTTCCTGATTAGTGTGTGCCCCCCCCCCTCCCCTAAACTATATCTGGACTCTCTTTAAAGTAGAAAAGCAAAAAAAATCTTCCCAAAAGAAAAACATCTCCTCGATTAAGTAAGGATTTCAATTGGCTACAATTGAAATCTAATTACTATTGTTTTTTTTGCCGATGAAGTTGTGGTACTTGTAGTACTTGTAGTACTTGTAGTACTTGTAGTACTTGTAGTACTTGTAGTACATGTAGTACTTGTAGTACTTGTAGTACTTGTAGTATTTGTAGTACTTGTAGTAATTGTAGTACTTGTAGTACTTGTAGTACTTGTAGTACTTGTAGTACTTGCAGTACTTGTAGTACTTGTAGTACTTGTAGTAATTGTAGTACTTGTAGTACTTGTAGTACTTGCAGTACTTGTAGTACTTGTAGTACTTGTAGTACTTGTAGTACTTGTAGTACTTGTGGTACTTGTAGTACTTGTAGTACTTGTAGTACTTGTAGTACTTGTAGTACATGTAGTACTTGTAGTACTTGTAGTACATGTAGTACTTGTAGTACATGTAGTACTTGTAGTACTTGTAGTACATGTAGTACTTGTAGTACTTGTAGTACTTGTAGTACTTGTAGTACTTGTAGTACTTGTAAAAGCTGTTCTTTAATAAGGGTTTAATATCCTTTGGGAAAGGCTTGGAGTTTGAATTTGGCAATTTTGGAACAGGCTTGCTTCCCTTTTGGGCTTCCAAGGGCTGCTCTGGCACAGCTTGCTGCAATAGTGAACCCAGCAAACAAACCTACTAAAGTGAAATGGAGCCTCTCCTGGTCCAGGGCCTTGGAAAATTGTGGACAAGCTGTTCTTTAATAAGGGTTTAATAAGGGATTGGTTCTTTTGGGAAAGGCTTGGAGTTTGAATTTGGCAATTTTGGAAAAGGCTTGCTTCCCTTCTGGCTTCCAGGGGCTGCTCTGGCACAGCTTGCTGCAATAGTGAACCCAGCAAACAAACCTACTAAAGTGAAATGGAGCCTCTCCTGGCCCAGGGCCTTGGAAAATTGTGGAAAAGCTGTTCTTTAATAAGGGTCTAATAAGGGATTGGCTCCTTTGGGAAAGGCTTGGAGTTTGAATTTGGCAATTGCCTTTGGAAAAGGCTTGCTTCTCTTCTGGGCTTCCAGGGGCTGCTCTGGCACAGCTTGCTGCAATAGTGAACACAGCAAACAAACCTACTAAAGTGAAATGGGGCCTCTCCTGGTCCAGGGCCTTGGGAAATTGTGGAAAAGCTGTTCTTTAATAAGGGTTTAATAAGGGATTGGCTCCTTTGGGAAAGGCTTGGAGTTTGAATTTGGCAATTGCCTTTGGAAAAGGCTTGCTTCTCTTCTGGGCTCCCAGGGGCTGCTCTGGCACAGCTTGCTGCAATAGTGAACCCAGCAAACAAACCTACTAAAGTGAAATGGAGCCTGTCCTGGTCCAGGGCCTTGGAAAATTGTGGAAAAGCTGTTCTTTAATAAGGGTTTAATAAGGGATTGGCTCCTTTGGGAAAGGCTTGGAGTTTGAATTTGGCAATTGCCTTTGGAAAAGGCTTGCTTCCCTTCTGGGCTTTCAGGGGCTGCTCTGGCACAGCTTGCTGCAATAGTGAACCCAGCAAACAAACCTACTAAAGTGAAATGGTGCCTCTACTGGTCCAGGGCCTTGGAAAATTGTGGGAAAGCTGTTCTTTAATAAGGGTTTAATAAGGGATTGGTTCTTTTGGGAAAGGCTTGGAGTTTGAATTTGGCAATTGCCTTTGGAAAAGGCTTGCTTCTCTTCTGGGCTTCCAGGAGCTGCTCTGGCACAGCTTGCTGCAATAGTGAACCCAACAAACAAACCTACTAAAGTGAAATGGAGCCTCTCCTGGTCCAGGGCCTTGGAAAATTGTGGAAAAGCTGTTCTTTAATAAGGGTTTAATAAGGGATTGTCTCCTTTGGGAAAGGCTTGGGGTTTGAATTTGGCAATTTTGGAAAAGGCTTGCTTCTCTTCTGGGCTTCCAGGAGCTGCTCTGGCACAGCTTGCTGCAATTGTGAACCCTGCAAACAAACCTACTAAAGTGAAATGAAGCCTCTCCTGGTTCAGGGCCTTGGAAAATTGTGGAAAAGCTGTTCTTTAATAAGGGTTTAATAAGGGATTGGTTCTTTGGGGAAAGGCTTGGGGTTTGAATTTGGCAATTTTGGCAAAGGCTTGCTTCCCTTCTGGGCTTCCAGGAGCTGCTCTGGCACAGCTTGCTGCAATAGTGAACCCAGCAAACAAACCTACCTTGACTGAGCTACAGCGTTTTTGAGAAAAAAATGCCTCTCAGCAATTACATTTTTTTTTGCAAAAAAAAGGGCTCTCCCAATTTTGTTTTGCCACAAAAGCGAACCCTCCAAACAATACATGAGTTTCAGAATAATTTGGAAAAAAATTGCCACAATAGCGACCCTAGGTACTAATCAGGACCCAACATTATACATGTGAACTCTGGTAAGTTACGCGCAGTGTGGGACGCCAACAATGATTTTGGTTGCTACTTGACAGGCTAAAATGCTAAAAGGACGCCTTCAGCCCAGGGGTTTATGAATCTTGGGTTGACTTTGCATTTTCTACAAACGTGCGCAGTACTCTTAGGAGACAAAACGAACTCTGTGACATTGTGTTAAAAAGTCCACTTTGCCACTATGGACTACAATCCCTGTGGCGATCTTCAATGCCACCTGGGCCTTGCTCTTTGCTTCACGGGGTTTCCTGACTCCAACTCCGTGTAGCCCAGTTATGGCTTCGAAACCTATATGTTGTACTTGCCCATTAATATCATTATTTTTCTTTTGGTGCCTATTTGGTGCTTGAATCATGTTTTCTGGGGGCCGTAATCCCCCATATTCGCTGCTGAAGTCATTGATATTGGTCACCTTGCGCGGACCCTCGTTGCGCGTGGCAGGGGGCCAACCTGCGTGCCATTGGACCCAACTGAGGCAAGTTTCACCACGGGCAGGACCCACCGGTTTCATGCGGAATGTGGTTCTTCAGTGGTCCTTAACTGGTCATGTGATAGCTGGGATATGCTGGGATGATCCCCCAAGTGGAGAATGGTCAAGCCCGTGGCCCATGCCGCGATCATCCGACATCCGCTTTCTGTTGTGATCCTCTTCCGAGATGCGCGCCGCCGGTTTGAAAAAAAAAACGGAATCCTGGCCTACTATGCCTACTCTTTGGCGAACAAACATAAGTTGTATTCCTCAACGGGAAAAAAACCATTGACAATTGAGCTATAAGGTGTGTTTCTCAGTTCAATTTCAGGTGACTAAACAGTTCCCAACCTCCCGTCAAGCTGAGCCATCCAAACTTAGGGGCTTTGGGGTGATGAACCACCAAGCCCCCCTGGTTTCCTGAACCAGTGAGCCTCGTGGAGTTACCGAGCTGAACATGGGGTTGGCGGATCCCACTTAGCAACTGCTTAGCAAGTAGGTATGCATGGCATTTATCTGGGTAAATTTGATCACGACCGAACCCTGTTCGACCGAACCCTGTTCTCCCGAACCCTGGGAATGATGGTTAGTAGGGGTGACTATCCTCAAATGACCTTATTTCAGGTTAGTGAGTTATTTTAATTTACCATCTGGTTATTTAACAGTTCGCCATGGAAAATCACCATTTTTAAGAACGGTAAACCATCTATTTCGATTAGGGCCATGGCTTCCATGGCGATGTTAGTCATAACCAGAGATGATCCTTGAAGGGTACGGTATCCCAAGTTTCCAAGACCCAGCATCACTATTCAAGTGATCCATGGGGCCGTGACAGCCAAGAACCATCCAGGGTTGTTTGACCAGATGGGAAACATTGGATGTTTTAAAGATCCATTTAAGGTTTTCTTGGCTTTTTTTGGATTGGTTTACCAAGATCCATTTGGTTTTACCGTGTTTTACCCATCATTTTTAGATGTCTTGGAGAAATTGGGGAACCACCAGACACGCCAACTTCACATCAGCCAACTTCAAAGCAGCCGACGCCGACGGGATCCATGTAGAAAAATCACGTCCACCTCTCAATATGTCCATCCAATCTCAGGTTAAGTTCTTTCTAGACAACTTGATATTACAACTTGATATATCTCAGGTTTCCGCCTCAGAAAATATCCATCTAAATATGGTCAATCCAGGGACTTGTTTGCTTCTATCAATGGGGATTCCTCAGACAGATCGAAGTGCGAAAACTGTGTCCCTTCTATTTTGGTTCCCTTAAGCTACTATTGAAAAATTACTAATGTGACCAACCCAATAGTGAACCATCCCCAAAATCACAGTAAATGGATGGTATAAACCACCCCCAAATAGTAGGCTTATTGTTTGATTTCCCAGATTGTTTTATATATGCCTTCTTTGGGCCTCTCTATCTATTCCTGTTGTTCACCATGGCGGCCAAGAAGCAAATGCAGATGTTGCCTGGATCTGCACAAGACATAGGGTGATGTGCCTGGAATGATGGTTGGATATGGTTGGCATATGTTAGCATAAAGGTAACTATGACAAAAAAAAAAAAGGCGTTAAATCAGGTTTCTGAATTACTGTACTATCCAGATATGGGTGTGTACATGAGGTTTTGCACATTTTTTTAAATGGCACCTGAACAAGGTGTTGAAACGCCTGGGGGTACAATATAATGTGTCTATAGGCGGCTCAGTCTGATTTTGAATGTAATTTCCAAGGGTTGGCAGTGATGGGGCGTTCAGGGGCCTACGGCCATTGGGAAAATCCACTAGGTTCGGGGAAGACTGCATGGGCCCTCACAGGAAAGGCTGATGAGAATTGGTGTTTTATCACGTTCCATCATCTAATTTGGGGCTTCAGTAACCATTCTGCGCAAGACGGTCATGTTTGATGACTAAAACGATGATCAGCCATGAGATTTTGGGTACCGCATACCCAGACAAAACCCACAATGTGTGTCATCAGGGATCAACATCTCAATGTTTTCATGGCCTGGAAGGTAGAACTCCCACGTTTCACTCATCTTGGGGAGCCAAGCAAGCCTCCCCAGAAGTGACCCTCCAAGAATAGATTCTCAATAAACGCTTACAAACCGTTTTAAACATGGTTGTTGTTGGTTCCTAACCCCTTAGCAAGTCCAAGCATTATTTGGAGTATCTCCCCCATACTGGTAGAAGCATCATTCCTGGCTGGTTGTCCATATAGAGTCCAATATCAAAAGCCTTATTCACTAATGCTGGTTGGTGGTTTGGAACATTTGGATTATTTTCCCATTTCATATATGGGATGTCATCCTTCCCATTGACGAACTCATATTTTTCAAGATGGTTGAAACCACCAACCAGAATGTCTCCCATCTCTAATGGAACAACAGCCATTTCTGGTGGGTTGGATCCCCGTGTCGTCCAGGTTAGTGACCCGCTTCGAGCGCCTGTCGCGACGCATCAGTCTGGCGGGCTTGTTGTCCAACCATCAAGCGACGGAGGCCATCGCCCAGGGTACCTTGGACCAGTGAAATGCGATGGAGATAGAACTGATAGAACCATCAACATTGAAAAATTGAAACAACATAACGAATCGCATGTGTTTTAGAAAAAACATGTATGTTTTAGATGGTAGAACTGATAGAACCATTTCAAAAACAACACAAAACCAGTGAACAAAGCAGTAAACCAAGTCATTTTTTAATGAAAAATAAACAAACACAAACACATGTTGTAAAAAAAACTATGTGGTATCCATTGGACATCATTGCACCATAAAGATTAGGGTTTAGTTAAGAAACAGGAAATTGACAATCAACTCATGGGGATCTGACCATCAAATTTAATGTAGGTTACAGATTAGTGTGGGGAGGCCCACCCCCCTCAACAAATTTTGGATACAGAATAGTGTAAAAAAGCCAAAGTAGAGGGTACTTGAATACGGTGAAATCAAAAAAATGATAGATTTAAATTGATTTGAATTTATTTTGAATTGATTTCAATTTACTTTCAATTGATTTCAATTTACTTTCAATTGATTTCAATTTACTTCCAATTGATTTCAATTTACTTTCAATTGATTTGAATTTATTTTGAATTGATTTCAATTTACTTTCAATTGATTTGAATTTATTTTGAATTGATTTCAATTTACTTTCAATTGATTTGAATTTATTTTGAATTGATTTCAATTTACTTTCAATTGATTTCAATTTACTTTCAATTGATTTGAAGTTACTTTGAATTGATTTCAATTTATTTTGAAATGATTTCAATTTACTTTCAATTGATTTCAATTTATTTTGAATTGATTTCAATTTATTTTGAATTGATTTGAAGTTATTTTGAATTGGTTTCAATTTACTTTCAATTGGTTTCAATTTACTTTCAACTGATTTGAAGTTTTTTTGAATTGATTTCAATTTACTTTCAATTGATTTCAATTTACTTTCAATTGATTTGAAGTTACTTTGAATTGATTTCAATTTATTTCAAAATGATTTCAATTTACTTTCAATTGATTTCAATTTACTTTCAATTGATTTCAATTTATTTTGAATTGATTTGAAGTTACTTTGAATTGATTTCAATTTACTTTCAATTGATTTCAATTTACTTTCAATTGATTTGAATTTATTTTAAATTGATTTCAATTTACTTTCAATTGATTTCAATTTACTTTCAATTGATTTGAATTTATTTTGAATTGATTTCAATTTACTTTCAATTGATTTAAATTTATTTTGAATTGATTTCAATTTACTTTCAATTGATTTCAATTTACTTTCAATTGATTTGAATTTATTTTGAATTGATTTCAATTTACTTTCAATTGATTTGAATTTATTTTGAAATGATTTCAATTTACTTTCAATTGATTTCAATTTACTTTCAATTTACTTTGAATTTACTTTCAATTGATTTCATTTTACTGCCAATTTACTTTCAATCGACATCCCATAGAAATCCAATAGTAGTCCCAAAGAAATATCATAGAAATACCATGGAAATCCCATAGGAATCTCACAGAAATACCATAGAAAGATCATAGAAATAACATGGAATAGCATAGGAACCACAAAAGAAATCCCATGAGAATTCCAATAATAATCCCATAGAAATATCATAGAAACATCATGGAAATACCTTGGAAATCCCACAGGAATCCAATAGAAATTCCATAGGAATCCAATAGAAATACCATAGAAATCCCATAGGAATCCAATGGAAATCCCATAAGAATACCATAGAACTCCCATAGCACCCCTTCAGAAATCCCATAGAAATCCTCCAGAAATATCATAGAAACATCATGGAAACCCCATAGGAATTCCATAGAAATCCAATAGTAATACCATAGAAATACCATAAAAGAAAAAAGCTTTAGCAAAGGAAAAGGTAAAGGGAATGCTTGAAAAAAACATCACACCAGGAAGCATCTGGACACAATAGTGTACCCTCGAAACAAACCACACTATTGTGTATCAGGGTTGCTCATGGACTACCCCCTTGAAAAATTGTTTGAGTGATGTTTTTTAATTGGGTTTTAATAAGGCATCATATATTTTGGAAAACTGGGCATTTCTGAGAATTTCAAATGAAAGAAACTAAGAACGTAATTAATTAAAAGAAAAAACTTTAGCAAAGGACAAGGTAAAGGAAATGATTGAAAAAATCAAAAAATCATGACCTCAGGAAAGCAGCTGGACACAATAGTGTACCCTCCAAACAAACCACGCTATTATGTATCAGGGTTGCTCATGGACTACCCCCTTGAAAAATTGTTTGGGTGATGTTTTTTAATTGGGTTTTAATAAGGCATCATATATTTTGGAAAACTGGGCATTTCTGAGAATATCAAATGAAAGAAACTAAGAAAGTAATTAATTAATTAAAAGGAAAAAACTTTAGCAAAGGAAAAGGTAAAGGACATGATTGCAAAAAAAAACAAAATCACCTCAGGAAGCAGCTGGACACAATAGTGTACCTTCCAAACAAACCACACTATTGTGTATCAGGGTTGCTCATGGACTACCCCCTTGAAAAATTGTTTGAGTGATGTTTTTTAATTGGGTTTTAATAAGGCATCATTCATTTTGGGAAACTGGGCAGTTCTGAGAATTTCAAATGAAAGAAACTAAGAAAGTAATTAATTAAAAGAAAAAACTTTAGCAAAGGAAAAGGTAAAGGAAATGATTGAAAAAAAAAACAAAAAATCATGACCTCAGGAAAGCAGCTGGACACAATAGTGTACCCTCCAAACAAACCACACTATTATGTATCAGGGTTGCTCATGGACTACCCCCTTGAAAAATTGTTTGAGTGATTTTTTTAATTGGGTTTTAATAAGGCATCATATATTTTGGAAAACTGGGCATTTCTGAGAATTTCAAATGAAAGAAACTAAGAAAGTAGTTAAGTAATTAAAAGAAAAAACTTTAGCAAAGGAAAAGGTAAAGGACATGATTGAAAAAATCGAAAAATCATGACCTCAGGAAAGCAGCTGGACACAATAGTGTACCCTCCAAACAAACCACACTATTATGTCTCAGGGTTGCTCATGGACTACCCCCTTGAAAAATTGTTTGAGTGATGTTTTTTAATTGGGTTTTAATAAGGCATCATTCATTTTGGGAAACTGGGCAGTTCTGAGAATTTCAAATGAAAGAAACTAAGAAAGTAATTAATTAAAAGAAAAAACTTTAGCAAAGGAAAAGGTAAAGGAAATGATTTAAAAAAAGACAAAAAATCATGACCTCAGGAAAGCAGCTGGACACAATAGTGTACCCTCCAAACAAACCACACTATTATGTATCAGGGTTGCTCATGGACTACCCCCTTGAAAAATTGTTTGAGTGATGTTTTTTAATTGGGTTTTAATAAGGCATCATATATTTTGGAAAACTGGGCATTTCTGAGAATTTCAAATGAAAGAAACTAAGAAAGTAGTTAAGTAATTAAAAGAAAAAACTTTAGCAAAGGAAAAGGTAAAGGAAATGATTGAAAAAATCGGAAAATCATGACCTCAGGAAAGCAGCTGGACACAATAGTGTACCCTCCAAACAAACCACACTATTGTGTACCTGGATTTAATTTTCTGTGGAAGGCATCTGGGGAAAATTTCAATGATTCTGGGGAAAATTTCAATGATGGAAAATAAAAAGTAAAAGAAAAAAGCTTTAAACAATGAAAAAAATGAAAAATGTTTGAACAACAAAAAAAGACCAAGACACAATTGTGTATCCTGACACAATGACACAATTGTGTATCCTGACACAACTTAAAAAAACAATTAAAAAAATATAATTAAACATAAAAATAAAAAATAATTTTAAATAAAATAAAAAATAATTAAATTAAAAATTATTATAAGTAAAAATTATTATAATTAAAAATTATTATAATTAAAAATTATTATTATTAATAAGTAATATAATTAAAAATTATTATAATTAAAAATAAAAATAAAAATAATTTTAAACAAAATAAAAAATAATTAAATTAAAAATTAATATAATTAAAGATACAAAATAAAAAATAATTTAAAATAAAATAAAAAATAATTAAAATAACAGTTATTATAATTGAAAATAAAAATAAAAACCAATTAAAAACTAAAAAACAAAAAATGAAAAAAACACTTACACCAAAATCCTGTGGACACAAAACTGTACCCCTCGATCATTTCCACAGTTACAAAATAATTTTGGAGTCTGTGGACACAATTCTGTATCCCCACACTAATCTGTATCCCACATTAGAAGGGTTAAGTTACTAGGAAGCATGAGATTTGGAGCTGGGACAGAAATCAGGATTAAAACTTGGATCTACGATAAACTTAATAGAAAGGGTGATTTGAAACAACAACAAGTTGGATCTTACCTGCAAACCATGAACTAAAGCATAGGGGTTAACAGTGTTCAGCTAGACATGTGTTCCCGGCAAGACTGGGGATTTTTTTAGGCAGCAATACATGGCAGATTTGTTGGATTTCATCAAGGAATGTGGTGATTGGAACAGAGCATTTTTGGTAATTAAGCTGACTGATCAGTTTTTTAATCCTGAGTTTGTTTGTGTTCTGTTGGATCCTTTAATGGTGAGCTGATGCGGGGCTCTCACAAGCCATAGTCTAGTTTTAGTAAGGGTTCCTCTCATAGCCTTATCTTGGGCAGGGTGCCCCTGTGGCCAATCGCCACTTGTGCTGTACGCTTACCCAATGCATTTGTGATCTGCAGATATTGGCAGCATTCTGCAGCCAGTTTCAAGTCTGGGAAAATCAAAGTGTAGCTGTAAAGACAACGTATAGAATCTGCGTACCCAACAACAAGCCTCCAAGCTTGGAGGTTTTATACCACTCATTACAGGTGAGCCATTGGGAATTGTTTAGGTTCACCACACACAGCCAAAGCAGGAACAACTAGAGCAAATGTGAATATGCCATGTCGGATGGTTTCTGATCATTTCTGATCCGCATGTCCCAAAGCAGGGGTCAGTGAATTTACAAGTCGTTTCCTGGCATGATGTATGCCTCGCACAGATCCACCGGCCAGCTGTTGCGCCCTTTAGAAAGAAGCCGTTCGCTCTCCGGCAGTGCGGCAACGTCCAGCCAATCCAAGCGAGTCCAAGAATAGGATATGAGACCCGAATAGGTCCAGTTCAATATATTTCAATCAATTTCATGATTTTCATGCATGTGGTCATGTCATTACAATTGTAATTAATAGTTGGTGCCCCTTTAGAAACCTTTGTGCCACCTATATGCCACCATGATTTCTAGTGTGAATTATTGTGGCTGATCTCCCCACAGGCCCAGCAGTATCAATTTCCGGTTTCGGGGCTATTGGATGCTGGCCATAGGCCTGTTGGCCGGAGTCCTTGAAGGTGATGGTGTATATACCATTATATTTATTATATACCTACATGTGTCCGAATTTTAGGGTAAAATGTTGGTAAATATATCATACATGGCAATTTTGAGAGATTACCTACTGGAACGTGGTTTCTTGAATTGGTTCTTGTTTCCGTTTCATGGCCATTTTGTTCTATTGTCCAAAAAAAAGATGGGACAACAACGCGGGAAATTCCTGTCATCTAAGGCAGGGTCCAGGTAGATGGAACAGTGGCGGCGAGCAACTTCAAGGCAGGAAGATTGAAAAATGTACTGCAGCAGTTCTGGTTGAAACAGGGTGGAAACATATCACATAAATTCATATATTCATACCATAGGTTACCATATTTTTATATCATATCATATCACATCATAACACATGGCATACTTTCATGTAATATTAATTCATATCATACCTGCATGAAACTTACAATCCTTTGTGGGTGATTGGTGAATGGATGTGAATTGGTTCATGAAAGAAGCTATGTAGCTGCGATATTCCAACAGTGCTTTATTAATTATAGCCTAAGAGAATGCAGGTTAAAGTTTCTCGCTCCACCACGTACATCCGTTTACACCAAAACCATACATGTAGGACAAAATACCGTAAACCTCATATGGTTTGAGGATCTTTGAGGCTATGGTGGCCCCTGACCTTCGCAATTTGGCAGGTTTTTCAAGAAGCATATGTGACTTTAGAAACTTTGGCTTTGGGGTCGGCTATGGGGGCTGATGGCTCCCATGTTGCATGTTACCTCGGGGGCTTGGTATCTTTATCCAGGGCGTGAAGGTGCCAAGGTTTCCACTTATCACTGCCCCAGTTTGGCATATTTCTCGCATCATATTTTGAGTTGAAGGTTTCAGGTGCCAATGCCATGTGACGAAAACTGTTTAAAAAAAAAGGCATCCGCCCAAACAATTTTTTTGACACGGGGCTTTTGGTGAGAAACCGCTGTGGCTGTGGCTTTTTCGGGTCCGGCCATTACCAGATTGATTGGCGAGGATCACAATGGCCCCATTGATCTGTAGAAAAAAATTGTCCACGGCCAGTGGATGGTAATCACCTCGTGGACATCGGCAGAACTGGTTTTTAATGTTTTTTATGACAGTTTAAGATATGAATTAGCCGTACTGGAGTGATTCTGGAAATTGAGATCCATCGTTAGTAACTGAGGCTTATCCTTATATATATATACAGTATATATATATATATCCACCTGTATTTGGATTTGTTGTGGTGTAATATACTGTAAGCAAGGCCAGAGCATTCCTACCCCCATGTCATATTCACCACTTGGAAACGCAAAGGGATACAGCGAAGCGCCAGAAATTGGGATAGTCCTGAGACTGCACCGAGACCTAAGCGACCTAACCTTTACCCGGCCTGGTAAACATACGAAAAGCTATTGAAAATGGCCTATTTATAGTTGATTTTCCCATTAATAGCATGGTGATTTTCCATAGTTTCTTGTATGTTTACCAGAGGGTAAAATCCCATTCCATAGTCCCAATATATCCCAAATGTGTCATGGCGACATTGACAGATTTGCCATTGCAGTGACTAACCGTCTGACCAATCCTTACCCGGGGACTGTGGCCATGGTACCAGTGGCTGAGGATGGGGTGAATGTACCACCACCTGAGCCTGAACCAAAGTTGTGGGCCATGTTCAAACCCAGGACAGGGAACAGAGGGCCCACAGGGCCGGGAAGGCCCGCATGATGTTTGAATGTTGTGGGAAATGTTCGGGGGTGGTATGATAAGGAATGGGAAAGAAAGTGCATGTTAATCTATTTGCTGTAAATCTATTTTTGTTGGATGATTAGCAGCTGTTGATGGGCAAATTTGGAGTTGCAATCTTAGGAACATCATGTCCTACCAATCTACCAGAAGTTACGTCTTGGAGGGGTATTCAAGGCCAGCCAATCGCTCAGAAGTGCATACTTGGACAAATCATCTCCATCCAGAGATTCACCATGAAATTGGACGGCTTGATGGTGATTGCAAGTGACCATAAGTGACCAGTCTACCAGCATCTAGCACCACATCTTGAGGATTCCCGTTGTGGATGCGGAAATTGAGACCTGGAGACCCGAGATGGTTCGGATCTATCATGGTGTGTACTCATTGAGAATATCCAGGGGATATTTCAGTGATACATTATGTGTATATTCGTTTTTATCTATATATATATGTGTGTGTGTATTTATGATATATATATATATACTGTATGTATATATATATATTCCTACTTGGAGATGTCCTGTTATAAGATGATATGGAACCATACTAGTTGTAGGAATGATATCCCAACTTTTGGGGTTATAGACATGATATGACATGATTATACCCGTTGATCACCCCAACTGTTCCCCCAAGTGTCATGATACTCCAACATTTTGCAACTTTAATGCATGACCACCCTGCACCCCACACACACGGGAGGAAAGTCCTTTGTGAGAACCTGGAGCGAGAGGACACCAAAACTCTGCGGAGCCGCATGCGACGTTGGTACGACAAGGCGGGCAGATGGTAATCCACGAATGGAAGGCCACCCCTCGGGCACCGGTAGTCTGCGCCGTCAGGAAGCGGACCGTGTTGGAAAGGCGGCTTCGGCTGGCTTGGAGGAGGAGAGCTTGAAGGATCGGCATTGGGTCATCGCTTGGAAGCCAAGTGCAGTGGTTCAGCATGGTGCCGAGCCCTGTTTTTTTGGACATGACGAAAAGACGGATGTTGTGGTAGACCTAAGGATAACCTAACTTTTCGGGATTTCAATTTTGTCTACCCGACATTTACCAAACGTTTATGGAAATATTGGAGATGGGCCTGAGATAGGTGTACCACATTGGTGGACATGATGGGCAAGAAGTATCTACAAAAGTTTGGATAGGCCAAATGGACAAGGAATGATTTCTAGATGATGTTGAATCTGGATCATACAATAAAAAAGCGAGAATGATGACCAATAAAGATGGATTCAAATGAACAGTGCCAGTGAAGACTGGACCTTTGCCGCGGTGGGCTCTACCAGCAGCTTCTGAGTTTCTGGCTGCGAGTCGTGTTACGGTTGACTCATGTTGATTACTTGTTGATATGTTGAATTTGTGGGTCCAATCCCTTCATTTGTTCAATCGTGTTTCTTGGAGCACCGTTGTTTCTTCCTGTTCACCATGCTGCATAGATGTAGGATTAGATATGTACGCCTCTGGGCCCGCGATATGCTCAGATATGATTTTGAATATTTTGATTCTTATACACACACACGCATGTTCAATCATTCTAAAACAGTTTAGTCGTATGTTGACAAACAACAAAAGACATGGTGAACATGAACGTGCACATTGTTTTTTCCATTTTTTTTACCACAATTATATGAGAAATTCTCCTAAATTCCCATTAACATCCAGTTGCGTACAATTATATAAATCCCCATTAAACATCATTAAATCTTACTGTAAATCTCCATTCTATCCCATGTATTGGGGGGTTAAGCTTTCCTCCTTCAAATCACATTGTATCACATTGATAACCCCTTTTTCCCCAATAACCACTATTAAACTCCATGAAAATCTTTTGAGAATCCATAACTGGTTGGTGGTTTGGAACATGGTTTTCCATTCAGTTGGGAAATCCCCCACCCCTTAAAATGTATATTGAGGGGGGGGGGGGAGCCGGGAATTCTCATACATTTCCAGGGCCCCCCCCACCTCTGAAACGGGTATTTTTGTATGAACTAGTTTTTGTAAAATTAAGAGATTACCTAAAGAGGTGGGGAGTGTTCCTCATACATTTTCAGTATTTGGCTTCAAAAGCTTGTTTAGAAAAAGGTGGGGAGGCGGTTTCATACATTGATTTTGCAAGGCCATGGATCTTTGATGCTCATGGAGTTTTCCTGGGGAATCTTACGAAATAGCATGACGCTTTTGACCACCCCCCCCTGAAATCTAAGTTTGCCAAATTATGGGAGGCCACCTACCCCCCCTGGGTTAATACATTAATAATTCCCATGTTTGGAGGGGGGGGTGCGAAATTTGGAAGGGGGGGTGGGGGCGCAGATGAAGTATCATGAATGTATGCACCTGGGGGGTCAGCAGCAGTTCCATGCCGCACATTCATTATACATGAAGGTTGTCTTGAGAAGCCTAAATGTACTAAATGCAATAGTATGCAGTGGTTGTTTCTGATTCTTATCTATTGTTAGGGTGCCTTTTTCTAACATTTTTTCAGGATTGCACTGTACCGAAAGGATGTTTTTTTAGGTTGAGCCTTGGGTTGAAGATGGTTGAAGTGTGTTGATCTAATCCAACCCTGCCCATTCCGTATAGCTCTTTCAACTTCTGTTTTTTTATCAAACATTGAGTTCCAAAGTCTTATGGTGTCAGATGCTTTCAACAGTCTTACTCACAGGGTACTGCAGAGATTCGCCTTTCTTCACCAGCCCATAGCTACCAACTCCCCAACACCAACTGCGGGTTTTCTGTTTGTCATGTTTGAAGGGGGGGGACCTGCACATCAGTGCAGCTATACATTTCAGGTACTGGGGGGCAGGGCACATCCAGCAGAATCCTAGGGTCGGTGGTTCCAATAGTTTCCAGTAGTAGGGAGAATGGCAACGCATGCCAACACAGCCCAGAGCATGGGAATAAAATGTATGAAAGGGGGGGGACCTGCACACCAGTGCAGCCATACATTTCAGGTACTGGGGGTGGGGCACATCCAGGAGAATCCTAGGAGTTCCAGGTGGTTCCAATAGTTTCCAATAGTAGGGAGAATGGCAACGCATGCCAGCACAGCCCAGAGCATGGGAATAAAATGTATGAAAGGGGGGGGGACCTGCACACCAGAGCAACCATACATTTCAGGTACTCGGGGTGGGGCACATCCAGGAGAATCCTAGAAGTTCCAGGTGGTTCCAATAGTTTCCAGTAGTAGGGAGAATGGCAACGCATGCCAACACAGCCCAGAGCATGGGAATATAATGTATGAAAGGGGGGGGGGCCTGCACACCAGTGCGGCCATACATTTCAGGTACATCCAGGAGAATCCTAGGAGTTCCAGGTGGTTCCAATAGTTTCCAGTAGTAGGGAGAATGGCAACGCATGCCAACACAGCCCAGAGCATGGGAAAAAATGTATGAAAGGGGGGGGGACCTGCACACCAGTGCAGCCATACATTTCAGGTACTGGGGGTGGGGCACATCCAGGAGAATCCTAGGAGTTCCAGGTGGTTCCAATAGTTTCCAGTAGTAGGGAGAATAGCAACGCATGCCAACACAGCCCAGAGCATGGGAATAAAATATATGAAAGGGGGGGGGACCTGCACACCAGTGCAGCCATACATTTCAGGTACTGGGGGTGGGGCACATCCAGGAGAATCCTAGGAGTTCCGGGTGGTTCCAATAGTTTCCAGTAGTCGGGAGAATGGCAACGCATGCCAACACAGCCCAGAGCATGGGAATAAAATGTATGAAAGGGGAGGGGTGACCGGCACACCAGTGGGGCACATCCAGGAGAATCCTAGGAGCTCCAGGTGGTTCCAATAATTTTTAGTAGTAGGGAGAATGGCAACGCATGCCAACACAGCCCAGGGCATGGGAATAAAATGTATGAAAGGGGGGGGACCTGCACACCAGTGCAGCCATACATTTCAGCACACCAGTGCAGCCATACATTTCAGGTACTGGGGGTGGGGCACATCCAGGAGAACCCTAGGAGTTCCAGGTGGTTCCAATAGTTTAGGAGTACGGAGAATGGCAACGCATGCCAACACAGCCCAGAGCATGGGAATAAAATGTATGAAAGGGGGGGGACCTGCACACCAGTGCAGCCATACATTTCAGGTACTGGGGGTGGGGCACATCCAGGAGAATCCTAGGAGTTCCAGGTGGTTCCAATAGTATTCATCAGTATGGAGAAGGGCAGCACATGCCAACAGACCCCAGAGCATCAGTGCAGCCATACATTACTGGGAGCAGGGCGGTGTTTTCCAAGATTCTGACAAAGTCCCACGATATCTTACAAGTGTATGAGCCAGAGGGCCCTCCATGCCTATCGAGAACCGTGAAGCGAGGTTCGAATAGATCGAGAAGCGGGAAGCGAGGATCGAGGATACTGGATCGAGAATTGAGAATCGAGAATGGAGAATTGAGAATCGAGAATCGGGAATCGAGAAGCGAGGATCGAGGATCGAGGATCGAGAATCGAGAATGGGGCTTGTCAAGCCAGGTCGGGAAAATTGATGAGAATGGCAGACAGGTTCAGAACAGAGTGGAAGTTTCAATGTTCAAATACTTCTTGTTGTTTCCAAATGATTCTGCATCTTTCCTTCGAAAATTAAATGCAACAAACTTCAAAGCATCGTGAAAAGAAATTAGCAGCCGTGTGCAGCTGTCCTGTTTTTAAAGCATCGAAATTTCGTGAGTTTGCAATAGTTTGCGGCCTTAGCGAAGAGAACGACTGGAAATTGCTTTGGACCCATTCATTCTGTGGCCAGATATCGACAGAAATCGTGGAAATCAATCGAAGGAAATCGTCCGCTTTTGAGGTTGAAACAACATAGTCCCCCCTTACTTTCATACATTTCCAGTGATTTACAGAAACCACCTAGTCCCCCCTATATTTTATACATTTGATTTTGTCTCATCTTATCCAGGTTACTGCAGTAAATGACCTGGTCCCCCCTGTGCTTCATACATTTTAAGATTTTTAACTTGCAATGAATTAATATGAATTAATAGTTCCTAGTAGCAGCTCACCCCCCAGAGGAATACATTTTGGGGGTTTCCCAAGCATTGTTTAAGTGCTGGTGCAGAGCAGGTCCCCCCCATGTCTCATTCAATCAAAAATGATAATGTATAAACCTTCTTGACACCTCTTTTAAGCCTCTTTCCGTCGCCGGGCTTGACCACCTGCTCCCCCCCCCCGTTCCTACATTCGATGGAAATGTATGAAGGGGAGGGGGGGTAGATACACACGGAAGGCAGGGGGGTGTTGGGAATTTCATCATCCCAACTGACTTTCAGTTCATCATTTTTCAGGGGGTAGGCCAACCAGCAACCAGCATAGATATCCCCATCATATCCCCAACATATTCGCAACATATTCCCAACCAATCCAATGAATTTATACATCATTAATCACCATTAATCACCATTATACCATCAGTTAACCATTATTAACCATTATTATCCATGGAAATCACTATGGAAATCCCCATATATACCATGATATACCATGATATACCACCAACCAATCCAGGATTTTTCCAGCAACCTCCCCCCCAAGGTGACCGGCCTGGCGTATGCCCATGATGGCCTGGTGCTGTTGACCAACGACGGCATTTTTGCGGAAACCCTTTCGAGTGCCGACGGCTGGATGAAGCGATGGGATCCTCCAAATTTGTCAGATGATTTCTAGGTTAACCATCAAACTATGGGGATAACTGGCTGGTGGTTTCAAACATTTTTTATTTTCCATTTCATATATGGGAGAATCCTTCGCATTGACTTTCAAATTTTCAGAGGGGTAGGTATACCACCAACCAGATATAAGTTGATGAATATGATAAGATATGATCATATATAAATGGTTATTGATGAATTGGTCATAACTTCTGAGGGATTTAACCATCGACCAATTGCTACTTTAATCCTTTAGTCTTTTGGTATCAATGGGATTATCCACGTTCACCAGCTAAGAATTTGTCACTTTTTCTAGGGTATCTAAGTATGATTTAAGTTTGAGTAAAAGAAGGAAACGGTTAGGATTTTTGTTCCATGTCTTTTTCCCCCCCCGGTTTCATGGACACAGATTGTAAGACCATTTTCAGGCCACTTCGACATAATTTGATAATTTTAGATATTTGATGGCAAGTTCATTCCTGGTTGGTGGTTTCAAACATTTTTTATTGTCCATTTCATATGTGGGATGCAATCCTTCCCATTGACTTTCATATTTTCCAAAATGGTTGAAACCATCAACCAGATTCACTGTAAGTAGGAGAAGTGATGAGCAACCCCATTCGCGTTGCTGCGATACAGCACCCAACCTTGAGACCCAGTATTGGCTGGCCGGTGCTCCGTTGCCAGGTTGCGGTACCCCTGGGTATGGAATGGAAATATTAAAATCATGGAATAGATGAAGGAACGAATGAACGGATGGTATTTCATGATGTTGATTTGAAAACTTTGGCATGGTTTTGTGGATTTTGTCTGGGTATGTGCATTCGTAGCTGTATTCTCGACCCCTGATGACCGAATGTTTACATGCACTTAAAAAACAATGCCTTCGGCAGGCACTACTTGACTGTATATGATTAAAATATATCAATATCATATACCATTAAAATATATTAGTCCGCACTTTTCTATGGAACATGGGTCCATCCAAACCAAACGATCTCGGTCCATGTGATTTTTCCATGCTTTAAACTTTAAACTAAGGTGCTGAAGCCAACGTCCTCAGTGCGTTTGATTGCAAGATCCAAGGCTGGGAGCATTATGGAAAGTGAGATTCACTGAATAAGTCAGTACTTGAATAAGGATGCATCAATGACCATAATTCATGATTTCTTACGTTAGTTCATAACACCAGTGAGTACGAAATATAGGGGGATTAATGACAATAATTTAGGATTCACAACCAGTCATGATGTGCATCCCATTTACGACAAGCGATTCATTGGCCATCATATACTATAATCATTTATTATTTTTTAATAATGCACATTACCAACTGGGATCATGTAATTTTCATGATGTCATACAAGTGTTTCATAACCATATAGTCTAATCCATTTAAATATAGAGTATACCCAGTGGTTTCAGGGTTAGAACATGTTATAGCCCAGTTACTCAATGGGATGCACCCGCCTTTTGTCACCATCCATAATTTCCAGTGTCACCATATCGAAATCTCATCATAATTAGAATCAATCGCTGTCATATCCATCGTCCCATTCCCAAATGCTCCAAACTGGGTCAACCTTGGATAGGACGAAGTTTTGCCTACAAATGGAGGCATAGTAAAAGTATTACTATTGTACACAGGGATCCAAGAGTGCCGTGTCGTCGGCCAGAGGCACCACCAGCACTTGCAAAATGCAGTTCCTCTTTCTGGTCGTCTACGGCCATGGGTCATATCCAAACTTATGATGGTTGCAATCCTACATCCCTAGTCAAAACATTAGTTATACCCCCAACCGCCCAGCTATGCCTAGCTCATGCTTGGTATACCTTCCAGTCATGGTGATCTGCAGGTGATCCCCCCGTCGACTTGCTGCACCAGTGGCGCACAGGGGCGCGAGCTGCGGGTGTGAACTATGGAAGAGATTCTTGGATTCTTCCGGCTTGGCACAAAAATGATAGTTGAATAAGATTCTAACCACCAGAAAATGGCCGAAAATGGTGATTTTGGATGAACACGAAATTGTCTTGGGAGATTTCATGAGGACTCTGTTTAGTGATTTCACCACATTTATTTCGATGATGTTTCCATTAAAGCTGCCATTGATAGGGTTGGCAATTGCAATGTAAACTTACCGGAGAGTACATGCTGCTACCTTTACTGAACATGCTGCATAGTTCAATGGATACGACAATATATATATATAGATATTCTAAATGGAACATATGGACATGATGCTCGCTACCTCTAATTGTGTAGTTGCTGGGATTGCTAGTTACAATCACCATCATGATATCATAGGTATTTTTGATGGCTATTTGGTTGAAGGAATGAACAACAACCCTTGCGAACCACAATGGTGATTTAATTTTTGAAAATACATGAAAGTACACATAATTATACGGGGATTATGTATGTATGTGTATATATATATATATATATGCTTCAGTGGCGTTTTAACCACTGTGGAGATGTGATTTTAAGACAACCGGAGATATAACGTGATATAATTGGGATGCAAGGAGATATCATATGGACGAATGGGATATATATATATATGTGTATTACTGTATAAGCCGATAAGTTTGGATTTATTTGGGATCAATGGGAATCAATTGGGTACATACATATACTTTTTAACAATATGTCACTTGGGTCTCTCCAGAAAGGGGTCCAACCCACTTTGTGAAAATCAACTAGTGGAAAAAAATACGAGTAGCTGTGACTTCTTCGGGTTCCATCTTTTCAAATCATTTGTCGCAAATTTACTGGATCTACTGTACTATATTTTGATAAGGGTTGTCCCCGTTTTGATGGCGTAAGTTTTCTTCAACACGTCATCACCATCAGCAGATCATCAGCAACACCTCCCATGTGTCCTAGGTCTTCTGCTCGGTGAAGAAACGCACGGGCGCCACTTTTCGTCTGCGCGTGAGATATGTGGAATCTCCGGAGCGACCTATCGATATGTTGCCAGCACCACTACTGGGATGGTTGGGGATGCATTCAGAGCCACTATCAGAAGCATCAAATAGATCCAGAAGGATAGAACAATATAGAAAAGTTGATAGAGTTGATAGCTTGGACAGTTTTAATCATTTTGAGGGGAATATCATCTAGAACGTCCTGGAAAAAAGCTCTTGTTATCTTTGTCGGGGCAATTTTCAGTATATTCGGTACATGGCAAGCGGCTAGCAACTGGTTTAACATCGCCTATATCATCTCATGACTGGGGTCAACGCTGGACTGATATAGCCTGGTTGGTCAATCAGGTGGATTTTCCACAAGGCAAAAATAAAGTAATATAATTAATTAATTCCTCTCCCTGATTAAGCAGCCCTTGGCTTATGTCTATGCAGTTGTATCGAGTTGACATTATAACAATGATTAACCATGTAACATACTGCAAACATATATATATATATCGTTTTTGATAGCTACACATAGATAAAATATGTTACACCCATATTTCTGGGATGAGACTCCTACCATCTACAGTCGTCAGAATTATAGAACAACATTAGGAGCACAAAAGTACGGTAAGTTTCCGTGCTTTTGTCTCCTCCAAGATGCAATTCCGCGCGGAATCATATCCTCTTAGCAATTAATTTTGGCAGTTCTAAAAAATGTGAGTTTCAAATTAATTTCAGCGGTGGCCCCCGGAGAAGATAATTTATAGAACACACAATTGTAGAACAGACCTGGTAAAGGTGGCAAATATGGGGGAAACACGCATTTACGGAACACAACCAGGCCCCAAAAATCATAAAAAATATATAGAGAGAGAGAGAGGAATCGGGAATCATGGAGCTAGAGGGTACGATAACTTACCATCCTGTCGTTCTCCTCAACTTCCATCCATTCTGACAACGACCGTCCCTCGGTCACTGGGACGGTGTGAATCCTTCGGATCCACGTGTCCCGGCGTGTCCCGGCGGTAGGTTGTTGGATGCACACCGCATGCGAATCCAAACGGTGCGACGCTATTCCTTTGGGCCGCCACTCGGCCGTGGGTGGGCCTGGGTCGTGGCGATATGATATATAGGTAGTAATGACTTGTGACAACTTGTTTTTTTTAATGTTCACCAGTTATTCCAAATTCATCTATTGTTTGATTGTTTAATAGTTCAGTTATGTTCAGTTAGTTGGGAAACCAGCTGATGATGCAGACCGTGGAGTTCGGTGCACATTTGCGGGCTTTCAGCTGGCTGGCTTCCACACTTGCGTGAGCCCGTCTTGAAGGTGTCAATGGAATTGACACAGCGGCTTCATTCTGAATGCCGCCTCTTTTGGGGTGAATCAGCTCACTCAATGGGTTGCTATAATTCGCCGCGGGCAAGCTGGTGCTCCTTCACATTGTGGATCGTAATGGCACCAAAAATAGTGAAATCATATATATATATATCATCTAACAATATTGTTTGTGAAGGTTAATTGATGTAATAGTTTTAGTATAGTTTTAGCAATAGTTAATAGTTATATTAACCCAGCTTTGCAACCCAACAGCATACCTGAATCTTCCACCTACGTCTTTTTTCAGACCCTGTGCCAAAGTCCTGTTTTTTCAGTACCCAGAAAACTTTTCAGGACCTACTCTCAAATTCAGGACCTGGCCATTTTGGGGTATCAATGGTAATGGCAATCATTGGGTGCAAACATGTGAAACCAACATTTGGTGGATATTCAAGCCATTGGCATTGATCCACGCAAATAAAAGCACTCCCAGCCCAAACTCATGGCAAGGCAGGATCAGAATATAGTACAGTATATTCCAGAAAGTATGTCAGAATAGATGCCAGATAGGATGCCAGAAAGAATGTCAAATAGAATCTCAGAAAAGAATGTAAGATAGCATGTCAGAACATATATGCCACATATACGTCCAGATGATATGTCAGAAACTATGTCAGAATAGTGTGTCAGGGTGGGGGTCACTCTTAGTAAGGCAATTTTGAAAATATATTTCAGGTTCGGAATTTTCAAACTGTTGTCCTTCAGGCGCCGAAGCTCCCGTTGAAGGTCAGCATCGCCCCATGTCAACTGGTCCAGTCCCACTTCCATTTCAACAAGTCCAACTTCATCGATTAGGGTGTTGGTTGAATGGACTTGGGACTCTAGCTGGCACGGCATCCCTTGTAACCCTGTAGGCACTGTAGTGGGCAAAAAGATTGTAACACACAGAATCAGCATCATTTTGATCAGGCATTCTTTTTGCTAGTCCTTTCTCCCTATTACGAAAAATACCCCCAAATGACAAAAACTAGGTGCGATTTCCAATTTTGGGAAATGTCAAATTGGTTAATCTGATTTTTAATTGATCCCCTTGAGGAAACAATTTTAAAAATGAAGGTACCATGTGAGGGTTTCACCCCCAAAGAATAAAAAACTAGTCAACACCGGGGTGTCTTTTATTGGGGTCCGTCCTTTAAAATCGTCAATTTTAGTTTTTTTAATTCAGGTGTTGGTGTTTTATTTGATACTAGGCGAAAGCTTCGAAATCCTATTCTTGGCAGTATTCTATTTAAAGATTATTTTCATGGATTTTGAAATTAGAAACAAAAAACGGTTTAATCCCTTCCCCCTGTTGCTAAACAGTCGCCCCTTCACCCACCCACCCAAATAACAAACACCTGGAGGAGTTTTTAGTATTGGGGGGTCTTTAGTATTAGGGTACGAAGCTTCCCCCTAATACTGATAAAAAACACACACACATATATATATACACATATTTCTATTTCAAAATCGATCAGATTTCTTTCTTTTTAAATCCAATTAAAATATGGCAAACAAGTGGATTCCGAAGCTTAATATCAAATAAAAACCCCCAACATAAAAAACTATGTATGTTTTTCTATTTCGAAATCGATTAGATTTCCTTTTAAAAATTAAATAAAAAAAAATTGGATGTCGAAGCTTTTCCCTTATATTAAACCCTAATATCATTTTGTTTTTTTCCTGTTTCAAAATCGACTAGATTTCCTTTTGAAATCTAATGAAAAAAAACAAAAAATTGATTTTGAAGCTTTCCCCTAATATCAAATTAAAATCCAATTATTAAAATATGTTCAAAAATTGGATTTCGATGCTTCCCCTAATCTTGCATGAAAATTTCCAATATAAAAAACTAAATTTGTTCTATTTCAGAATCGATTAGATTTCCTTGTAAATTCAAATTAAGATATTGCCAGAAATTGGATTTCGAAGCTTTCCCCTCATATTAAACCCTCATATCAAAGACTATTTTTTCTATATCACAATTCATTAGATTTCCTTTTGAAATCTAATTAGAATATGGTCAAAAATTGGATTTTGAAGTTTTCCCCTAATATTACATTAAAAAACCCTAATATAAAATATTATTTTTTCTTTTTTGAAATCGATTCGATTTCCTTTTAAATTGTAGTAACAAAAATAAAAACAAAAACCGGATTTCGAAATGTTTCCTCTAATATTAAATTACCAGCCCTAATATATTTAAAAAAAACTGTTTCAAAATCGATTAGTTTTCTGTTTAACATATAATTAAGATATTGCTAAAAATTGGATTTCGAAGTTTTCCCCTAAGATTATATTAAAAACACTAATTAAAAAAACTATGTTTTTTCGATTTCAAGAATCGATTAGATTTCCTTTTGACATCCAGCAAAAATATTGCCAGGAAATGCCAAAAAGTGGATTTCGAAGTTTTCCCCCAATATTATATAAACGTTGTAATATAAAATACTTATTTTTTTCGACCTTAAAAGACCCTAGTTTAAAAAATCACCGGGGCTGACTAGTTTTTATTTTTTGGTGGTGAAATCCTGAAATGGGACCTTCATGTTTAATTTGTTTTTGAAAAGGTATCAATTAAAAGTCAAACTGGCCAGCCTGAAATTTCCCAAAATTTAACGCGGACCCTAGTAAAAGGAATCAATGTAATATTTTAGTATTTAGGGTACGTTTAGTAAAAGGAGGTGGGGATTAGTAAGGTTTTCAATTTAATATAAGGGGAAGCTTCGAAATCCAATTTGGCAAGATTTGAGTTAGATTTTGAATAGGAATTCAATCGGTTTTGAAATATAAAGTTCATTTTTTAAAACGAATGTTTTCAATTTAATGTCAGGGGGAAGCTTCGGAATCCAATTTTGGCAATATTTTAGTTAGATGTTATTTAAAAAATGTTTTCCAATTTAGTTTTTTTAAACCAAGGGGGAAGTTTCGCACCCTCATACTAAATACCCACTAAATACAAAAAATTATTCCGTGTGTTCATTATTGGGTGGGGAGGGGCAGACGGTTTATTATGACGCAGGGATTGGTCAGGCATCACTTGCTGGAATTATTGGATTCTTTTGGGATGATTGGTATGATGTTTAGTCAGGCATGGTTCCCTTCAGTCACGCACGATTTTTGCAAAAATCCTATTTAGGCACGACCCCAAAATCCCAGCCCGGCAAATTCCGGCCCGGGCCCGGCAAATTCCGGCCCGCGCCCTGCAAATTCCGGCCCTGCGGTTTTCCAAAATCAGGCAAAACCAGTAAATCAGGTATTAAGTCAGGTGTAGCTACCTTTTAAGTCATTAAGGCTAGTCAGGCATGGTTCCAGTGGGTACCTTTTAATTGTGAAGGCTAGTCAGGCATGGTTCCCTGAATTCAGGGGCATGGGTACCTTTTAATTATGAAGGCTAGTCAGGCATGGGTTCTGTTAAGTCAGGCGTGGGTGGGTACCTCTTAATTATGAAGGCTAGTCAGGCATGGTTCCCTTAAGTCGGGTGTGGTTACGCTTTAAGTCATGAAGGCTAGTCAGGCATGGGTACCTTTTAAGTGATGAAATCTGAATCAGGCGGAGCTCCTATTCTAAATGTGTTAAATCCAATTGTTCAGTGTGGAAAATCGATTTTTTGGCTGGTCTACGGGCAAACCCTGTGTCTTCCAATACCATAGCGTGCTGATGTCGCTTGCCTGCATAATAGTTAAGGCCAAAGCTTAGGTCATCAGTGTGATCCTGAAATGGCGCCACGACCAAGAAGATGACATGTGTAAAATGGGCCCTGGATTAACAAAGGCTGACTAATGAATTTGGAGGATGCCACTAAAGTATGACATGTAATCACTTTTGAGGAGCACTCTATGGCACGCAGCGCGCGCAGCCTGCTTTACGGTTTAGCGTTTGAAAGTTTTAGGCTTTGCCTCTATGGCACGCAGCGTTTGAAAGTTTAACCGTTTACCTCTATGGCAGGCTGTGCGCGCAGTACGCGTTACGGTTTAAAGTTTGAAAGTTTTAGGGTTTATGTGTGTGGCACGCAGTGCGCGCAGCGCGCATTAGGGTTTAGGGTTTGGAAGTTTTATAGTTTATTTTATTGCATGCAGCGTGCACAGCGTGGGTTGAACTTTAGGGTTTCGAAGTTTTAGGGTTAACCTCCATGACACGATGGTTTAGGGTTTGGAGATTTTAAGGGGTACTTCTATGGCACACAGCGCGCGCAGCGCGCGTTAGGGTTTAGGGTTTAGGGTTTGGAATTTTAGGGTTTACCTCTATGACACGAGAGTTTCAGGTTTGAAGATTTTAGGGTTTATTTCTATTGCACAAAGCGCGCGCAGCGCGCATTAGTGTTTAGGGTTTGAAGGTTTTAGGGTTTATCTCTGGCACGCAGCGCGCACAGCACGCATTAGGGTTTGGAAGTTTTAGGGTTTATTTTATTGCATGCAGCGCGCACACCGCGGGTTAAACTTTAGGGTTTGGAAGTTGCATAACACGATGGTTTAGGGTTTGGAAATTTTAGGGTTTACTTCTCTGGGACACAGCGCGCGCACCGCGCATTAGGGTTTAGGGTTTGGAAGTTTTAGGGTTTACTTTATTGCATGCAGCGCGCGCAGCGCGCATAGAGTTTAGGGTTTGGAAGTTTTAGGGTTTCAAGGGTTCCAGGGTACCAGGGTCCCACGGTTTCAGGGTTCCAAGGTTTCCAGGGTTCCAAGGGTTCCAAAGGGTTCCAGGGTTTCAGGGTTCCAGGATCCCAGCAGGGTGCCAGGTGTGCAGGGTTGCAGGGTTCCAAGGTTCCAGGGTTCCAAGGTAGCAGGGTTCCAGAATCCTTGAGGGTTCCTGGGTGCCAAGGTTCCAAGGTTTCAGGGTTCCACGGTCGCAGGGTTCCAAGGTTCCAGGGTTTCAGGGTTCCAGGGTTCCGGGGTTCCAGGGTTCCGGGGTTCCAGGGTTCCAGGGTTCCAGGGTTCCGGGGTTCCAAGGTTTCAGGGTTCCAGGGTTCCAGGGTTCCAGGGTCCCACGGTTTCAGGGTTCCAAGGTTTCCAGGGTTCCAAGGGTTCCAAGGGTTCCAAGGGTTCCAAGGGTTCCAAGGGTTCCAAGGGTTCCAGGGTTCCAGGGTCAGGGTCCCAGCAGGGTGCCAGGTGTGCAGGGTTGCAGGGTTCCAAGGTTCCAGGGTTCCAAGGTTGCAGGGTTCCAGAATCCTTGAGGGTTCCAGGGTGCCAAGGTTCCAAGGTTTCAGGGTTCCACGGTCGCAGGGTTCCAAGGTTCCAGGGTTTCAGGGTTCCAGGGTTCCGGGGTTCCAGGGTTCCAGGGTTCAAGAGTTCCAGGGTTCCAAGGTTTCAGGGTTCCAGGGTTCCAGGGTTCTAGGGTTCTGGGGTTCCAAGGTTTCAGGGTTCCAAGGTTTCAGGGTTCCAGGGTTCCAGGGTTCCAGGGTTCCAGGGTTCCAGGGTTCCAGGGTTCCATTCCGGATTTTGAAGGCTGCAAGTCCCCGCGAGCCAGCCCCAGCCCTAGAGATTGAAAGCCAACAGGCCCTGCTGTTGGGAATAATTCATCACCTATCATAGTTAATTGATCATCTAACAGTTTTCGATTATTCATGGTTTGCAGATGTTTGCAGATCCTTTGCGAATCTTTGTGCTCTTGATATGTCCTAGTATTCCCCAGCCTTGGTGGTTACCGTAATTATATAGATCATTTTGCATGGCAGAGTCACGGTTTGGGTGTTTCTGTCTAGTTTTGCTTGCTCGTATCTCCTGGGTCACTGCAGGTATATCGTGACAGATGCGACTTGGTAGCATGGCCGTGGCACCTATGATTATTCCATGGCTGGAAGTTTTGAGAATATGTTACCTCAAGCCTTTTTTTGGAATGATACGCACAGTTGGTCAGTCCTGCTGCTAGCGGATTACTGGATGATTTGTTGCTGCCCTGAAAGGCGGGCTTTCACCCTTGCCGTCCCATGACCCATGATACAAGGTACAGTTTTAACAAAATAAACATCATCCCGAACCCACCAAAATGTCAGTAAATGATCCGAAATGACTTGCAATAATCCCACAGTTCCAAAAATCAGTATCTTAAATGATCCTAAACCCACCAGTTGGGTTTCACCTGTGTCCATGTTTCTCCCAACGTTTCACAAACCCTCCAAGCAGACTTGGCAGATCCCTGCGGACAAAGTGGTACGCATCCCGATCCACAAGAGTCTCAGGCTGGTACTTCAGATCTGCGGAAAAAAGGGGGATAGATTAACGTAAGCAGCTTATCAACAAATGGATTTTATAGTGGTTTAATGGGATTTATAGTGGTTTTATATGGTATTATGGGATTTACCAGACTGGCCATGAATTTTGGGACAAGTCTCTGGTGGATGGATATGGGTGGATGTTGTTTTCAATTGTTTCCTGGCAGCATTTGCCTTGGAAAATGCACCCACTAACCAGCTTTAATAAAACAATGCCGACGAATATCATAAGATTAAAGATGCATCCTAGCACCACAACATGGAAGCTAACATGCGCAGACTGTTTCTGTTGTTTTTCTTTGTTGGCGGTTTAAACCCCAATATACTCATGGAAAACCTGCTTACATCCCTGTAAAATGGATAAACTATACATTAAATCACCATCTGGTTGGTGGTTTGGAACATGAATTTTATTTTTCCATATATTGGGAATGTCATCATCCCAACTGACGAACTCAAAATTTTCAGAGGGTAGGGCTCAACCACCAACCAGCCATGATCTCCCCCTGACATCCCATTGAATCTGGGGCATCCACCACGCCAGGCATTTGATTCCTGTTGCCGACATGCGACAGACCTTGGTGCCGCTGCATGGTGCCATGATGGAGGTGGGGGACTGGTGTCAGCGTCTAGCTATGTACCAGCCAATAGCTCGTAACTTAGTTTAATGGTAGTTTAATGGTGGTTTAATGGTGATTAACCCTCTGATAATGGAATATAAATATATGTATATATATATATACTGGTTGGTGGTTTGGAACATGTTTTATTTTCCATTTCATATATGGGATCATCCTTCCCATTGACTTTCATATTTTTTAAGATGGTTCGGTTAAAAACACCAACCAGATATGGGGGGTTCTTAAGTCATGGGGGATCCCCAAGTCACCATGGCTTTCAGTTTTGGGATGGTCATGACTTGGAGGATTTGGGGGTATATGACTTAGGAACCTCCGTATTTACTTCACCTACTTCAACACGGAAGGACCCATGAGCCGAGGACTTACATTTTACTAGGAAGTACTAGGAAGCGGTATACCTTCATGGAGCCACACAGTGGCTTTGTTTCGGTAATTAACAAAATAAATGAATTGGATTTGATTATCAATCACTTGCCACCAGTACATTAGAATAGCCAATGATCGTCATATCTTCCAGGGAATCAGTTTCGATTTTATTACTGTCTTTGGATTGAACATCCTTTGGTATCTACATTTCTTTTCCAAGAAACAATCCATTGAAATAGATATTTACTGATTAGATCCCTATTTCTGTTGGTCAAAACCATTCAAAATCCCCATTTTTGTTGGTTAAATGGGGCCAACAATCCCTTGAAACTGGGGGATATCTGGAGATACCGGGGCCAGGATGGGCACTCGCGGAAGCCACGACTGGAAAACTCCGCGGTGGAGATGGAGGTGGTGACTGGGATGGCTGGGAAAAGCATATGGAACCCAATGTTGGACAGATCCATAATGCCATACATGCCATATTAGGCTATATTATTAGGATAACTCATGATATAAAAGAACTGACAAATCATAACCATAATAAATCATAATCAATCACAATAATTCCCATTAAATTTCCCCGTGATTTTTCTCCCAAACGACACCATTTTTGATGCCTAGCACCGCCAGGCCCCTGAGATCGGCTTCGGTTGAAAAAGTTGACGTTTTAACACGTGGTGGTTCATGCGGCTTAGTGAGTAGGTTGTATAATGTTAAATATAGCTGCAGTTAGAAGTGGTGTAAGTAGCCTCTTTATTAAGTACACTTATTAATCTTGCAATAACTACGGAAGCATATTTCAGCTACGTAGACGGTTGGATGAGCCACCAAGTGGCGGACCATTGTCCCCTCAAGAGTTGGATGTTCCATTGTTGGTCATCAAAACTACTGCACAAAACATGGGTTTGTCTTTGCATAGGGTACCCCAAAGTCGAATGGATTATCATCATGTTCTCATTAATATTTTTTTTGTGGGGGGGGAGGCATACCCCATTTTGCCAGATAAACCGAAAAAGTGGAGTCTTATCTTTAAAAAAGCCTGGTCATATCGTGCTCATATGCAGTATATCTAGCTGCCAGGTTGAATCCTCACGATTTGAGTGCTGTCCTGAGATACACTATCACTAGACACAGGTTATGCTGCCATGTCTTGTTTTGTTGATCTTTTTTCCCGGCTGTGGCGTCCAGTTCCACTTATACTTGGATATGTAACATGAAATAACTATAGTTATAAGTGTTCTATCCCAACTTAAATGAAAATTATTGCAGTGATTATGCCCAAAAACATATCCCCAACTGTCCAAGTAGCCTATGCCGCAGCTTCTGTTCCAAATGTAGCAACGAAGAACGGCCCGCTGTGCGGACAGCAACTGCCCGTGGGGGAGCTACAGCTGATTCGGTGAAAGTGTTCGGCCCCGGCTGGGCATTTCCAATGCCATTCATGGTGGCAGATGGTGCCATGTATAGATAGATAGATAGATAGAAAGATATGTAACTATAATATATATATATATATGTGTGTGTATGTGTGTGTATGTGTGTGTGTTTCTGTGTATGTTTCTGTGTATGTGTATGTGTATGTGTATGTGTATGTGTATGTGTGTGTAGGTGTATGTGTGTGAATGTGTATGTGTATGCGTATGTGTGTGTAGGTGTAGGTGTGTGTATGTGTATGTGTATGTGTGTGTTTCTGTGTATGTTTCTGTGTGTGTGTGTGTATGTGTGTGTTTGTGTATGTGTATGTGTGTGTGTATGTGTATGTGTATATGTGTGTATGTGTATGTGCGTGTGTATGTGTATGTGCATGTGTATGTGTATGTGTGTACACACTTATGTAGAGATGTAGTCATTATGTAGTACATACCCTGAAAAAGAGAGAACATGTTCCAATTTCTCTGTGTTTTCTAGGAGGTCACTTTACTTATGCTCCATGTGTATGGTTCTATGATGCCTCCATCAACGGATGGTGTAGGTTTCCTTCTGGCATCATCCATTGCATCAAAAATCTTCAGAAATCGTTGGGCAATGTTGGCTATTCATGTATTATTGTAATTATTGTTGTTTTCTTCAGTCTCTTCCCCAGTAGTACCGCACAAGGCGGTGGCGGAAGTTTCAATTATAGGGCGCTATAGGAGAGCTGTGTTGTTGTGATGCGTGGATGGCAGAGCGAATCCACTGATGGCCCGAAAGGTGACTGACTGGAGTTGTGTTTTTTGGAGTGGTTGAATGGTTGCAGTGGTCACCTCATCCACAATGCTGGATGCAGTGTGTTGTAGTGCAGCTGTAGTTGTAGTTATAGTGTAGTGGAGTTGTAGTTGTAGTGTTGTGTAATTGGCGTAGTGTAGTTGCAGTTGTAGTTGCTGCTGTAGTTGCAGTTGTAGTTGTGATGTGGTGTAATGAGTGTAGTGTATGTAGTGTGCTGTAGTGTTGTGTTCTGTATTTTGGTCGAGTGTAGTGTAGTCTAGTGTAGTGTAGTTGTAGTCGTAGCTGTGGTTGTAGCTGTATTCAGTGTAGCGTAGCGTAGCGCAGTGTATTGAAATTAGTGTCGTGTAGGGTAATGTAGTGTAGTTGTAGTTGTAGTTGTAGCCTAGTGTAGTGTAATGTAGTGTAGTTGTAGTTGTAGCTTCACCTGTAGTAGTAATAGTAGTTGTACTTGTAGATAAAGCTGTAGTGTAATTAGTGCAGCGCGCGGCAATCAGCGCAGTGTAGTGTAATTAGTGTAGTGTAGTGTAACTGGTGTAGTGTAGTGGAGTGTAGGGTAGGGTAGGGTAGGGTAGTGTAGTGCAGTGTAGTGTAGTGTAATTAGTGTACTGTAGCGTAACATATTTGCATGTGTATTTGGGATTGTTCTGGTAGTGTAGTTCTAGTTGTAGTTGCACTTGTAGCTGCCTATCTATCTATCCACCCATCCTTCTATCTATCTATCTATCTATCTATTTGTCTGTCTATCTGTGTATCTATCTTTCTAGCTATCTAACTATCTATCTGTCTATCCATCCACCTATCTATCTATCTATCTATCTTTCTATCTATCTATCTATCTATCTGTCTGTCTATCTGCAAGTTTGAAAATGAGAACTTGACAACATCAGAAGCGCAGCAATTCTTCGAGACCTCCTCAATTTTTGAACGTGACAACGTCAAAAATTGCGAGGCTTCCTTATGATCAAGTTGACAACATCAAAAATGAAGCAATTCTGCGAGACCTCCTTCAAATATGGAAAGTTGAGTGCAGAGCTGACCACCTTGTACCAATAATTTTTGCGATTTTTGCACTCCATCTGTCTAAAGTGCTGTGCCTGCCACGAAAAAGTGATGCCAGGTCATGCGAAGTGCCGCACCTGTCACGCAAAATCTGAGCAAACCTGAAGATCTGATGCTCCAAAATGCAACCCCTCTCGGGAAATCAGCGTCCTGACCTTCTAACATCTCTGATGAACATGTCTTTTGTACCGCGCCTGCCATGCGAAATGCATTTTTCCAGACCTTCTTCAAATGTCCCACGCCTGCCATCGTTTTTGGAAATGCTACAGAACCCTCGCGTTTTGCTCACTTTTGACAAGAAGGTGCACAATCCCTTGGGCCTGCCACGCGCAACGACATCTGAAGGTCCAAAAGTGCTCCAAACCCGTCAGTTTTTTGCACTGACTTCGAAATGTACTTCGCGCAACAACAGAGTGCACTTTTTCATCATCTCAACTTCCAAAAGTGGTCTGAGACCGTCATTTTTTACACTTTTGACTTCGAAATGTACTTCGCGCCACAACAGTGTGCACTTTTTCATCATCTCAACTTCCAAAAGTGGTCTGAGACCGTCAGTTGTTTACACTTGTTACTTTGAAATGTGCTTCGCGCCACAAAGGCGTGCACTTGTTCATCACCTCAACATCCAAAAGTGCTTCGAGAATGGTGCGTTTTGTTCGTTTTGACTTCGAAATGTGCTTCACGCCACAACGGCGTGCAATTTTTCATCTTTCATCTGGCCAGATGGCTCCGCACCCGCCGCTTTAGCGAGCCTACTTTTCGACCCTCCGGAGCCACAAATCATTGGAAAAACACCGTGTTTCAGCGACTTTCCTATCTTTCCGCGCACCTGCATCTTCTTTCTTCTCACTCTCTCTTTCTCTTCTCTGATCTTCTCTCTTGTGCTCTTCTCATCTCTGACTCTTCCCACCCTTCTTTTCCATCTGTCCATATTGTCGGACGTTTGACTTCTAAACTTCCTTCGAAAAATATCATTGTAATTCATCATTGTCGATGGTTGTTTGTTATGTGTGTGTTGTGTTTGCTCGATTGGCACGGTGGATAGTTGTTAGTTGTAGCACTCGTGACTGCTAGGCAGTGAGGTCTTGTTTTGAGTGCCAGTGATCCGAAGGCTGGGCTTTAAAAACATCGGCTCCTATCGGCATCCAGGAACATGGCCTACGGGCCTAGATGAAAACATCTGGTTGTCACTATGCTCATAAGACTCAAACCACCCATTTAGAGATGAACCAGCCATTTGTTGTTCGTAACTTACCAGTTTTTGTAACTTAAATCGCCAGATGATTCAAGATATCCAGTATTGTCTATGTGTTTTCGGCACGTTTTGTGGCTCAAATCAAGCCTTACCTCCGAGAAAGAGGACGTCTTTGTTGTGCATTGCAGCAAACTCTGTGGTGATGCCTGAAGAGGATGTTCTTGTTGGCAGCAACGGCGAAACCGTAAACATCCAGGTGCCTTTTGCCGGGGGTGACGCGGAAGATGTATTTGTTTGATTTTAATGAAGCTGTTTATTTCCAATGGTTCAGAGTGTTATACACACATAAATCATGTACATTGCTGTAGCTAGTGTTTGTTTTCGTGTGTGTGTGCATCTGTGTAGTTTTGTGTTTATGTGTTTGTTTGTAAATTCATTTATTGGTTAAATATGCATATTCATTTGCCGAAGGGTGTTTTTGGTGTTTGTGCACATCCAAATAAGCGAACATATGCATGAACACAAACTTGCGGTTTCCTTTCAAGACAAATGTGCAAATGCACAATCTATCCGGGGCCTTATTGATGTTGCATCACTTTCTGGGTGTATCGCCGGTGACTTTCATGCCGCTGGATTGATTCAAAGGAAATGTGCAGGATTTTTTTTGTGTGCTTATTCATTTGGTGGTTCTGGCATGTTTATCTACAAAATGATGCAGCAGTATTTAACGGCCCATTTTTGATGGCTAAGGTTAACCCCGAATTAAACCACCGTTGTTGATGTACACCCTCCAAATTGAACATGGAACCCCAAAATGGCCATATGGAATGTCCAAACCATCTTCCCCCAGTTTTGAGGTTCCATTTTTTCAGGGTGTGTATATTAATATATATATATAATTTTATATATATATATATACATATCACCATTTTGCCTATACCTCCATGGTATTTCCCTAAAACAGTACTAATCATCAACCAACAAGGTCACTTCCAAAATGGCCCGTTCAAATCCCAAAATGTTTGTTTTTTATTCCAGTAACTAAAAATCAAAATGAAAATATTGTTGGTAATCTCACTGAAATCTTGTTGAGTCAACCAACAATTTTATTTCCCACATTGATCTCCTCTCCGACCTGGGCAACGCGAGCAGACGCGAGCGGCAGGTGCACTCGCTCTCGGGCGAAGAGCTCTTCCACTTCGACGCATTAATACCCTCAGCGAGCTGCCACTGGCTGTGATCTACCCTTGTTGGTTGGTTGATTATGCGGGTTTATACGTGCATTAATGTGTGATTTTTTTTAATGATTTGTCATCCTTTATTCATTGGGGATGAAGTGGAAAATCTCTTCACCAGGGGAGAAAGGGACGACAGGACGCTGTGAGCCACTTCCCAGTGAGGACTGCCATCCACTCTTGACCAACGATTTTATCCTCGGCATCAATGGGATAGATTCGCACAGTTTGTGGTTGCAGACCATGCATGCATACATACGCATTTGCATATGTATATATAACTACACATATATATATATTATACATGTATACATGTATACATACATACATACATACAATACAATACAATACAATACAATACAATACCAATACAATACAATACAATACAATACAAATACAATTACAATTACAATACAATACAATACAATACAATACATACAAGCATACATACATACATACATACATACATACATACATACAATACAATACATACAATACAATACATACAATACATACAATACATACAATACATACATACATACATACATACATACATACATACATACATACATACATACATACATACATACATACATACATACATACATATATATATATATATTTATATATTTGTCAGCAATTCAAGGGTCGGTCTGCACGTGGGCCTAGGTAGTCATTGGTTGGAACACGCACGGCAGGTCCGGGCCCCTGGCTTGTGTGGCATCATCCGTATTGGGAAGCATTGCCAAAAGAGGTCACATGGGTTGTTTAGATGTTTAGCGTGTTAGGGTTACAGATTTCCTGGGCAGGTTTTTGTTGTTTTCGATGCTCTCTTGGATTGGTTGAAACGGATTCAACTGGTGCGGGTGTACGTACGACAAAACGGTTGCATATATAGGTTCATGCAAAAGCAGAACAAACACATCAGTGAATCGTGGCCACGTGATGATGTACACTCAACCCTGGCTGACCCCGATGTTAGTTTTGCACATGGGAAAGGGCCGCGGGGGAAGTGTGTTTTTTCTCATCCAGATGATAGGTAAAATACATTGGTTTTGGTTTTGCCTTGGCCCGCCATTCAAGCATATTCAGGCATCAAAACCATATCAGGTACCCTCCGGTAATCAAACATGGCAGTGGAAACGTATCCATGTCTAGGTATCCATATGATGATTTCCCCATCAAACCTCCACATATCGGGGATTGCCGCCATGTGAAAAATTCCCACAGGGTACTGGAATCTTCAGAGTTTCGCCACGAAGAGCTGTTAGTTTCGCAGTTGGTGGTGTCGAAATTTCGGCCGTTCCAGAATAAACTAATGATCGAGTTTAAATCATTAGTTGATTTTCATCCCCCATAAAAAAATATCCAACTCTAAATCTAGTCGGATCATGTCGGATCGATCTGGATGATGTCCAATCCTTGAAATATCTTGGAACGATGTCCAATGACTGTTTATGTCCGCCTTAGCCGCCAGAATTTCATCGGACTCATCGCCAGGTCTTTGAATCACAGCCCGTGCATGGCTATTTGGAGGCGGGACAACTTGGGAGGGCCTTTCTACCAGTTATATTGGGTGTGTTTCAATGTGTTTCATCCATTTTCATCCCATTTAAGTGGTAGAGCGTGGGCCCAGCCCAGTCCAGAGGTTAACCATGCACTTCCAACACCAAAAATCAACTCACTTCCAACACCGACTCACTCCCAACACCAAACATTGACTCACTTCCAACACAAAAAGCAAGTTTCGGCGTCGAGGGCGAGTCGGTTTACCGTTTCCCCATTGGTAGTGAGGCGTCACTTCTGGAACCCCATCATAAACAAACATTACAGGGAAAACGATCAACACTGAGAAACTCTTCAAGGGGATTCAACCCTTTAGGTTCGGGAGGGGGGGAACCATCAGGGTACCATACAGGGGGAATGACCAACACTGAGAAACCCCTCAAGGGGATTCAACCCTTTAGGTTGGGTGGGGGGGAACCATCAAGCACCATGCCGGGGAAATGATCAACACTGAGAAACCCTTCAAGGGGATTCAACCCCCCCTTGCCTTCCACGATACCATCATCTAACAATCTAACTCTTTATTTAAACTTCCCCCCCTGCCTTCCACAATGCCATGATCTAAATATCTAACTCTGTATTTAAACTTCCCCCCCTCGCCTTCCACAATGCCATCATCTAAAATCTAACTCTTTATTTAAACTTTACCCCCCCTTGCCTTCCACAATGCCATCATCTAAAATCTAACTCATTATTTAAACTTCCCCCCCTGGCCTTCCACAACGCCATCATCTAAAATCTACCTCTTTATTTCAACTTCCCCCCCCTTGCCTTCCACAATGCCATCATCTAAAATCTACAGGAACCGACAGAATTATGGAAAAAAAAACGTTTCAATTTACAGGCGCCGCCTGTCTATGATGGAAAAGTTACGAACTTTTTTTTTTCCATAATTATTTTTTCCATAATTATTTTTTTTCCATAATTCTGTCGGTGACTGTATGTCCATCGATTCGCAATTTGAATGCATTTTAAGGGGGAATATTGAATTATAGAAAATATGTGTCTAAAGACCCCCCAAAAAAAGGGGTTTGAATTGTGGATCCATGACATGTCCAACAGGTGGAGCCCCAAACATTAATTATGGAAAAAATAATTATGGAAAAAATAATTATGGAAAAAATAATTATGGAAAAAAATAATTATGGAAAAACCGGTCAATCTGCCCTAGCCCCCTGATTTTACAGGAAAAATCAATTATGGAAATAATGGCCACCTCCAAGAATTATGGAAAAAAAAAAGGTTCGGATCACTTCCGGGATATTTTAAACCCTTATGGGGAAAAACCTAATTATGGAAAAATCGGACGCAGGCGCCGCCTGTCTAAGTTGAACGTTTTTTTTTCTCCATAATTCTGTCGGTGACCATAACTCTTTATTTAAACTTTACCCCCCTTGCCTTCCACAATGCTATCATCTAAAATCTAACTCTTTATTTAAACTTCCCCCCCTTTGCCTTCCACAATGCCATCATCTAAAATCTAACTCTTTATTTGAACTTCCCCCCCTCCTTGCCTTCCACAATGCCATCATCTAAAATCTAACTCTTTATTTAAACTTCCCCCCCCTGCCTTGCACAATGCCATGATCTAAAAATCTAACTCTTCATTTAAACTTCCCCCCCTGCCTTCCACAATGCCATCATCTAAAAATCTAACTCTTTATTTAAACTTCCCCCCCCTTGCCTTCCACACTGCCATCATCTAAAATCTAACTCTTTATTTAAACTTCCCCCCCTGCCTTCCACAATACCATCATCTAAAATCTACCTCTTTATTTAAACTTTACCCCCCTTGCCTTCCACAATGCTATCATCTAAAATCTAACTCTTTATTTAGACTTTCCCCCCTGTGCCTTCCACAATGCCATCATCTAAAATCTAACTCGTTATTTAAACTTCCCCCCCCCCTTGCCTTCCACAGTGCCATCGTCTAAAATTTAACTCTTTACTTAAACTTCCCCCCCCTGCCTTCCACAATGCCATGATCTAAAAATCTAACTCTTCATTTAAACTTCCCCCCCCTTGCCTTCCACAATGCCATCATCTAAAAATCTCACTCTTTATTTAAACTTCCCCCCCCTTGCCTTCCACACTGCCATCATCTAAAATCTGACTCGTTATTTAAACTTCCCCCCCCTTGCCTTCCACAATACCATCATCTAAAATCTACCTCTTTATTTAAACTTTACCCCCCTTGCCTTCCACAATGCTATCATCTAAAATCTAACTCTTTATTTAAACTTCCCCCCTTTGCCTTCCACAATGCCATCATCTAAAATCTACCTCTTTATTTAAACTCCCCCCCCTGCCTTCCACAATGCCATCATCTAAAAATCTAACTCTTTATTTAAATCCCCCCCCTGCCTTCCACACTGCCATCATCTAAAATCTAACTCGTTATTTAAACTTCCCCCCCCCTTGCCTTCCACAATGCCATCATCTAAAATCTACCTCTTTATTTAAACTTTACCCCCCCTTGCCTTCCACAATGCTATCATCTAAAATCTAACTCTTTATTTAAACTTTCCCCACGGCTTGCCTTCCACAATGCCATCATCTAAAATCTAACTCTTTATTTCAACTTTCGTCGTTGTTGTTGTTGTTCTTGTCGTTGTTGTCGTTGTCGTTGTCGTCGTCGTTGTCGTTGTCGTTGTCGTTGTCGTTGTCGTTGTCGTTGTTGTTGTTGTTGTTGATGTTCATGTTGGTGTTGATGTTGATGTGAATGTTGATGATGTTGTTGTGGTTGTTAACGTTTTTGTGTTGTCGATGTTGGGACTGCTGTTGATTTTGTTCTTGTTGTTGATGGTTTGCATGTTGTCGATGTAAGTAAAGAGGCGTCGGGAGCGAGTATGTTTCCGGCGTTGAAAGCGAGTTGATTTTCGGCGTCGGGAGCGAGTGTCCGACCCAGTCCAGATCTCCTCGGTGAATGGGTGAACTGACCACGCCGGTTCGACAGATTCGCATTTCACGACCATATCCAGTAGCCTGTATATGTTAGTGTACCCTCTGGTAAACGTTTACGTAACTATGGAACATCACCATTTTTAATGGGTAAATCCACTATAAATCACCATTTTCAATAGCTATGTTAGTTTACCAGAGGATAAATGTTTCATGTTGTCGTCGGACTTTGCCCAAAATAATAACCACAAATCATCCACACTCGTACTCATTCTTAGCATTTGCGACAGCAAGACCAACATTTCCCGGTGTAAACAGGGACTTGTTTGTTGACTAAATCTCCATGTCTCGGTTAAATCCCCCAACTATTTTGACCAAATATTTAGATACGCTTGAACCTTGATGATTTTTCTGATCAAACGCTTCATGTTCCGGACAGACATCGGATTTCTCAATTCTTACCAATCAAGATCCTGATTTCTTATGGGAATCCCCAGCCCCCCTTGGATTTTCTTGATCAAAACGTTTGGGAATGTCTGGTTTTATCGGCTACCCCATTCCATCCGCTGCTTGATCATCATTTTCCAACATGTTCCCCATGTTGCTTCAAGAAAGAAAAATTGCTATACTGCTATAGTATATGGCTAATTGATCAGGTGAATCCCCCATGTTCACCCATGTTCATATTATAATAAAATAAATTATAACAAAACAAAAATGATATAATATAATATAATATGATATAATATAGTATGATATAATCTAATCTAATACAATTTAATATAACATATAATATAATATAATATAACATATTATATAATATAATCTAATATAATTTAATATAATATAATATAATATATTCAATATAATATAATATAATATAACATATAATATAATATAATATAATATTCTGTAACATAACATGTCCCAAGCCCGCCTCGTTTTTTAGGCGCTACTCTTTGAGGGTCAGCCCCTGGAGGGCGAGCTACTCTTTGAGGGTCAGCCCCTGGAGGGCGAGCAGACGCTGCTGGAGTTCTTGGGCCCTACTCTGGGCGACGCGCCGAGGCGCTTTACAGCCGTGGTGGTGCCCGTGGGTTGCTTGACGTGAGCGGTGCAAAAGGGGGGCGAAAATTGTGATTTATGGAAGAACAAGCTGATTTTTGAATGTGTTTGGTCTTTTTTTTGGCTGGCTTTAGGATGTTTTATCTGTTGATTTTGGGGAACCAACATGAACCAACTCTGATTTGATATGATTTACTTTTTATATGCTACCCAACTACCCAGTGGCCCAGTGGTTCGGACAGAGCGATTGGGTTACCGACAACTTCGAATCGAATCGGATGTGGCTTTTCCGTATGCGATTCGGGGCTGCTGACTGCTATATAGGTTGCTTTTTCAGGGTCCCAAAAAAAGGCTGGCCAAATCCCAAGTTGCTTTTGCGATTTAGGAATCAGCAGAACCTAAAGAGTAGCAACATCCAGCGTTGCGTCAACGCTGGTGATTTTTGACGGGGTTTGCCTTGGCATCGCCATCTTGCCTCCTCCACTAATCGGGGATTTTTAATTGCCATTTTTGATTACCTGAGGTTCCTTTGATCACCATCATCACATTTTATTAGAAGCAAAAACCAACAACAGGTGTTTTACTCATGTTTAACTCATCAGAAATGTGTTCACTGGATTCAACAAGTTAGTGGAGCAACTTAGCTTCTACTTGACCAAATACCATGTCAGGAATTAATAAGAAATTAGGAATCAACATATTATTGTTTTTATACACGGTAAACAAACATGGTCTTTGCGTTTTTTTTGTTTATGTTTTCTTTGATATTCTATCTGTATAAAATATAATTGTATATGTCATGATATATATATATATATGCAATATATATATATTAAGTATACATATATATATTAAGTATATATATTAAGTATATATATATATTAAGTATATATATATGTATAGATATTTTGTATATATATATATTATATAACAATATAATAATAATAGTAATAATAAATAATATTAACAATAGTAATAAAATAATAATAATCATAATATATATATATAAATATATATATAATGTATATGGAGAACCAAAACAGTAAGAATTCCTCGGGTCAACACAAGAACTTGAGGTATTTCGGAAAAAAAGAAAACATCGGTTTTCGATTGAAGACCTCGGGTATTGATTTTGAACCCGTAGCTAATCCGTACCTAACCCGTACCTAACCCGTACTTAACCCGTACCTAGCCCGTACTAACCCGTACCTAACCCGTACCTAACCCGTACCTAACCCGTACCTAACCCCTACCTAACCCATACCTATAACCCGTACCTAACCCGTACCTAACTCGTACTTTCTGATTCAGATTGGGTAAAAATACCTCGGGTTTTGTCGGAAAGCTCAGGTATTTTCAAACCCTAAGATTTCTGCGGGTTTTGGTTCTCAAGGTATACCCTAACCAACAAGACCCTTGTTTTTTGTCGGGTGTGCCTATAATTAAACCTCGGGTTTACCTACTTTGAGGTCCGAACCCTGGGTTTCCAATTAAAACCCGGGGTTTTCCGGCAAAACCGGGTCAGACCAGCTGGTGACGCTGCCCAGGCTGCCAATATTCCCACCTCACTAGAATTTCCAGGAATTGTTACACCTTTTCTGGTAGTTTTGTCATTTGTGACAAGAAAAAAGAGGTCAGAATTGATGCAGACCCCAAACCCGTGATTTACCCGTGACAACCTATGATTTTGCTACAGAAACCCTGGGTTTGGACCTGGAAACCCTGGGTTTTGGGAAAACCCAATGTTTTTCCAAACCCGTGACGAAACCGTGATGGACTCGTGATTTACCCGTGATAACCCGTGAAATTAAACGCGAGTTGAATGCATCAAGCCAGCATCTTGTTTTGGTTGGTTTTTGTTGCGTTTATTGAAATCAAAGTGGCTTGTGGTTGCTGGTGTTTCGAAACAAAGCTTCTCGGTTGGATGGTTCCCAAAAAATATATTGGTCAGAGTTGCCAAACCCTGGGTTTTGTTTGAAAACCCTGGGTTTCCCACGAATTTCTCCTGTTTTGTTGGTTAGGGTATATAATATATATATATGTGTGTGTGTGTTCATATGTATGTTACTGTAGACACATATAAATATAAATATAAATAAATATTAATATTATTAATCTATTATCCCGTCCACGCAACGCCACGTTGCGCCGAGATTTTCGCCCCAAACCCGGTTCTTACGACGCACGGCTCGCCGTGGACGCCGAGACGGGTCGCAGGGTGACGCTGGGGGGGGAGCGCACGCTGCCTGGCGGGCCAGGGCATATGTACCCAGCAGCGCCTTGACGATGAGAGTGGAAGAGCATACTGTAACCAGATTTAACCCCTATTATTTATCTTCCATCGTTCTTTTTCGCCTTTTTTTTGTGGGGTTCGGAGAATGATCCGAGATGATGGGAGATGAATATGGCTCTTATGATGTTTTTCAGTCCCGTTGCCCGATCCCTGGTTTCCATTCCAAGATGTTCAATGTATTTATGCCCCAAAAACATCTTGAGTAACTCCACCAAGGGATCCTTGAGATATGTTATGATGAATGAATGTGTTGCACCAATGTAAGAGAAAACACGGAACCCACACATTGCTGGTCCAACGGTCAAATCATGGTTTTGCGATTTACTGATTTACTTGTTGTTTTTTTCCCTTACTCGGGGCATTTATCGCCCTACGATAAGCCCTGGTAAGCAATCAACACAGGTGATGTCACCCGCACTACGATGGAGAATGTTCTTGGAGAACTTGTCGAACTTGTGGATATCACGTGATATCACCACAAGTCCAATACCACTGCCTTAGCATGTACGCTTTGCACCAGCGAAGACTTGATCCCTTCACCAAGGTGGTAGATCTTAGCGACCATGGCCCCACTGAAGAGTGAGACAGGAGTCGACCCTGAAATGGCTTCATCACCCCCAAACTTCTGGTGACCTCGCCTTTTTTCGGGCAAAACAATTCGGGGGAAACCTTGGTCGTTCATGGAATTTGCTCTTTAAACAATTGAAGGCCATAGTTTGTTGCCATGTCAATGTCTTGTTCTCCCTCACCCCAACCAAGTAGCGCATGAATATATTTGATATATGGTTCCCAATGTTTCCCATGAATATCCCATAAATATCCCATTTAGATATCCCTGGTTCAATTTTGGGTTCCTCAGGCTATCGGGGCTGCCTTCAAGCCTGGTCTTGCGCAGTACTTCGAGGCAGGGTCGAGGTCAGTGGAACTATGAAAAATGGGGCCCGAAACATGGAAGATAGGATCGGATCATCACATGTAAAATTACTTTGTAAGCTGTAGTGAGGGATTGGATCATCAAGTCTGAAATGAGCTGGTAACATGTAGTGAGAGATTGGATCATCAAGCGTAAAAATTCTTTGTAAGATGTAGTCAGGGAATAGATCATCCAGGTTAAAATTACTTGGTAAGATGTAGTGAGGGATTAGATCATCAGGCCTAAAATTGCTTGGTACAATGTAGTGCGAGATTCGATCATCAAGCGTGTTTTTGTTGATATATGTATATATACACGCACACACACATATATATATAAATATAAATATATATATATAGTGAGGGATTAGATCATCAAGCCTGAGATTACTTGGTAACATGTAGCGAGGGATTGGATCATCAAACCTGAAATTACTTGGTAACATGTAGTAACCATGTGCAACCATAGATGCGGACCAAAGACTTGTAAATGTCATGCCCCCCCCCCGGTGTGGGGACATATTTAAAGCATGCGTTTGAATCAGTCAATGAAGGGATGTTATTCGCAAGTAGTTTACACCCATGATTATGAATGGGATAAATAGGGCGAATCCATTTGTAGCCTGGGTTATACCCTTGGTAATAAGCTCCATTTAGTTCGATGATTTTCCCACTAAAACCTCCATATATTTATATAGTTGCAGCGTATCTCCCAGCTAGCCACGTTCGATGACACCGGAGGGTAACATTCCGTTATATCCCATTAAACCTCCATTTATGCCCTTAATATCTTAATGTCCCACTAGATCCAATTAATCTCCCGCTTGATCCCATTAATACCCTTTTAAATCCACCACTCTCAATGCATAACTTCACCCTCCAAGTAGGGTCCAAAGTCCCAGGTGAAGATGACTTCAGCACGTCCAGGACACCCCAAGAAACCTGGGATTTTTGTGGCATCTATCTTGGATCCCGGATCAACCATTCGCGTGAAAGAATATGAATCGCGTCCTACTATATAAAGGCTATTTCTTGCAGGGTACCTCAGCTTAGCCCAACAAAAAAGAATCATTACAGTTGTGACCCTTATCATAGCTGGCATGAACTGGCAGATGCCCGTGAGCTGACTGTGGCTCCACATTGGCTTCGCCTGCAATTTTCCTGCTTGCGATTCATCTCACATGTCTACGCATGCTATTCATGGTTCTGTCATATTCTTTCAGGATACTTGCCACCGAAAAAAAGTCCATGTGCTGGGTCAGATCTGGTCACGTACAGCCCCAGGATGGGCTAGGTTGCTGTATAGAGTTGTCTGTAATTTTTGGGCACCCAAAATTTGATGGTTCATCAGTTCATCATAATTTTCCTCATTCAAACTGCCATGTTTCAGACCCATTTTTCTACAAACCAGCCACCAATATCTTATCAGTGGCCATTTCAGGAACCTAAATTGAAGGTACCTACCATATATAAGGCCTATGTAAGGACCAAATTTCAGGGAATATCCCCACAAAATATGGCCTTATATGGTACTAACGTACCTCCATTTTAGGATCCTGAAATTCCCATTGATCTTAGGTATCCCTAGCCTTAGACTATGACTTCCGCCAGGGGAGCTCGTGAGCTTTCGTATGGGCGTTTGCCGTAGCTTTCCAGATACCTACCTGGGCCCCTTGGCAGAAACTGTTGGGCTACCCTCCGGCAATCAAATTTGGCCATGGGAAAGCGGGAAAAACATAGGAAAACCATAATTATATAATACAGTAAATTGGCAGTTTAATAGGAAACACATGGAACTAAATGCGGGGTTCTCCATTTGCATGTTTGATTACAAGGCGTAGACGTAGAAGATTATTGCTGAGCCGTGGCATGTGATAATACACTGAGAATCCAAGATCATCCATGCCAAGCCTCCCGTCTTCAGAGGTTGGAGGGGGTATTTGCCGGAAACCATGGCTTTGGCCGCTTTGGCCAGTGAATATTCGATATGATTAATATTAGGCCATTAGGCGTTCCCGCAGGATTTCTCTGCATCCACATGATTCTTGGATGCTATCTATCAGAACCTTCAGGTAGTTCACAATCACCTTATAATTTTGAAAAACATGTATAAAAATGGTTTTGTCATGTTTTGTCCAAAAATGGTGCATTTTGCCATGGGGAATGGCGTTCGTTTTACCATTCAAAACAGGTGTCCTAAAATATTGGAGAAAACCAGACGAGGTCCATGACAGGCCAGTGGGTCTTCAGAGCTCAGCTGAGGCAAAAATGCCGATGCAGCATCCTTCTGGTTTGACGACGGGGACGCTTACACCGAAGGCGTAGAAACACCGATGACGGGGTCGCCGAGCTCAGCAATATCACGTTGGTGATTTTTTGTGCAACGTCGTTGAGAACTGGAGCCAAGTGAGATTCGGCGTTTCATATCCGTCACACATTCTTTGTGCTTGGTTTCAAAACATCAAAAATGAGGCCCCCAGTCATAAGTTGCTGTATACGCCCATTCAACTGTAGATATGTCAGAAATCCAACAGTCAGCCAAAAACCAACAGAAACCTAACGACTGGGGGTTCCTTTTTTCGGTTTCGCATCGTGGAACCCACCGTGGAACCCACCGTGGAACCATGGCTCGCATGGCAATCTTGGAGCCAGGTGAGCGGTTCCATGCCGGTGGCTTGGAGATGAACGTGCCCATGATTCAAGACGACCTGGTTGGCGTGCTGGTGGATCTGAGGAGCGCTCGGTTGGATTATTTGTTGTTTCAACTCCCGCCCCTAACGTTGGTTTTTTTTGATGATGGGTGTTAAGATCATCAAGATTGGGGGCTAGGTGTTCAAATATCAAAAAGAAACCCTTATTGTTGGTTCTTGATGAAGTCGTGAAAAATTGGGAGGCACTTTTTTCGGGGGGAATAGACGGGCATAGCCCTACTTGGCCAATTTGATCATTAGCTACATTTGCACCTACATACCATCTGGTTATTTAACATAGCCATGGAAAATCCCTTATAAATGGAGGTTTCTACAAGCGCTAGCGTTAAGTCGTATCAGCTTGTAAAAGTCGTATCGGGAGGCCGTGCGCCTGGAAAAAGTTCAAGTTTGGCATCACCACAACTTTTAGTAATTGAACAATTTCATTGTTTTGGGGCCGTGCGCCTGGAAAAAGTTCATTTTTTTTATTGCGTTGATTTTTTAAAAATATATTTGATCATTCTTTCAAGGGGGCGCTGCTTGCCTGCTACTTGCTGCTGCTTGCTGCTGCTTACCTGTTGCTGCTGCTTGCCTGCTGCTTGCTGCTCCATGCTGCTGCTTGCTGCTACTTGTTGCTACTTACCTGCTGCTGCTCACCTGCTGCTGCTCAGCTGCTGCTCACCTGCTGCTCACCTACTGCTTGCCTGTTGTTGCTGTTCCTTGCTGCTCCTTGCTGCTCCTTGCTGCTCCTTGCATTCCTTGCATTCCTTGCAACCCTTGCAACCCTTGCATTCCTTGCTGCTGCTTGCTGCTGCTTGCTGCTGCTTGCTGCTGCTTGCTGCTGCTTGCTGCTGCTTGCTGCTGCTGCTTGCTGCTGCTTGCTGCTGCTTGCTGCTTGCTGCTTGCTGCTTGCTGCTTGCTGCTTGCTGCTTGCTGCTTGCTGCTTGCTGCTTGCTGCTTGCTGCTTGCTGCTTGCTGCTGGCTGCTGCTTGCTGCTTGCTGCTTGCTGCTTGCTGCTTGCTGCTTGCTGCTTGCTGCTGCTGCTTGCTGCTTGCTGCTTGCTGCTTGCTGCTTGCTGCTTGCTGCTTGCTGCTTGCTGCTTGCTGCTTGCTGCTTGCTGCTTGTTGCTGCTTGCTGATTGCTGCTGCTTGCTGCTTGCTGCTGCTGCTGCTGCTGCTGCTGCTGCTGCTTGCTGCTGCTGCTGCTGCTTGCTGCTGCTTGCTGCTGCTTGCTGCTGCTTGCTGCTTGCTTGCGCTGCTGCTTGCTGCTGCTTGCTGCTGCTTGCTGCTTGCTGCTGCTGCTGCTGCTTGCTGCTGCTTGCTGCTGCTTGCCGCTGCTTGCTGCTGCTTGCTGCTACTTGCTGCTGCTTGCTGCTGCTTACCTGTTGCTGCTTACCTGTTGCTGCTGCTTGCCTGCTGCTTGCTGCTCCATGCTGCTGCTTGCTGCTACTTGTTGCTACTTACCTGCTGCTGCTCACCTGCTGCTGCTCAGCTGCTGCTCACCTGCTGCTCACCTACTGCTTGCCTGTTGTTGCTGTTCCTTGCTGCTCCTTGCTGCTCCTTGCTGCTCCTTGCATTCCTTGCATTCCTTGCAACCCTTGCAACCCTTGCATTCCTTGCTGCTGCTTGCTGCTGCTTGCTGCTGCTTGCTGCTGCTTGCTGCTGCTTGCTGCTGCTTGCTGCTGCTGCTTGCTGCTGCTTGCTGCTGCTTGCTGCTTGCTGCTTGCTGCTTGCTGCTTGCTGCTTGCTGCTTGCTGCTGCTGCTGCTTGCTGCTTGCTGCTGCTTGCTGCTTGCTGCTGCTTGCTGCTTGCTGCTTGCTGCTGCTTGCTGCTTGCTGCTTGCTGCTTGCTGCTTGCTGCTTGCTGCTTGCTGCTTGCTGCTTGCTGCTTGCTGCTTGCTGCTTGCTGCTTGCTGCTTGCTGCTGGTGCTGGTGCTGGTGGTGGTGCTGCCTGGCTGCTGCTGGCGGCTCCTGGCTGCCTGGCTGCTGCTGGCGGCTCCTGGCTGCCTGGCTGCTGCTGGCGGCTCCTGGCTGCCTGGCTGCCTGGCTGCCTGCCTGGCTGCCTGGCTGCCTGGCTGGCTGGCTGCTTGGCTGGCTGCCTGGCTGCCTGGCTGCCTGGCTGCCTGGCTGGCTGGCTTGCTTGCTGGCTTGCTTGCTGGCTTGCTTGCTGGCTTGCTTGCTGGCTTGCTTGCTTGCTTGCTTGCTTGCTGTTCCTTGCTGTTCCTTGCTGTTCCTTGCTGCTCCTTGCTGCTCCTTGCATTCCTTGCATTCCTTGCAACCCTTGCATTCCTTGCTGCTGCTTGCTGCTGCTTGCTGCTGCTTGCTGCTGCTTGCTGCTGCTTGCTGCTGCTTGCTGCTTGCTGCTGCTTGCTGCTGCTTGCTGCTGCTTGCTGCTGCTTGCTGCTGCTTGCTGCTGCTTGCTGCTGCCTGCTGCTGCTTGCTGCTTGCTGCTTGCTGCTTGCTGCTTGCTGCTTGCTGCTTGCTGCTTGCTGCTTGCTGCTTGCTGCTTGCTGCTTGCTGCTTGCTGCTTGCTTCTTGCTGTTTGCTGCTTGCTGCTTGCTGCTTGCTGCTTGCTGCTTGCTGCTTGCTGCTTGCTGCTTGCTGCTTGCTGCTTGCTGCTTGCTGCTTGCTGGCGGCTGCTTGCTGCTTGCTGCTTGCTGCTTGCTGCTTGCTGCTTGCTGGCGGCTGCTTGCTGCTTGCTGCTTGCTGCTTGCTGCTTGCTGCTTGCTGCTTGCTGCTTGCTGCTTGCTGCTTGCTGCTTGCTGCTTGCTGCTTGCTGCTGGCTGCTGGCTGCTGGCTGCTGGCTGCTGGCTGCTGGCTGCTTGCTGCTGGCCTTGTGTCTGCTTGCTGTTGCTTGCTGCTGCTGCTTGCTGCTGCTTGCTGCTGCTTGCTGCTGTTTGCTGCTGCTTGCTGCTGCTTGCTGCTGCTTGCTGCTGCTTGCTGCTGCTTGCTGCTGCTTGCTGCTGCTTGCTGCTGCTTGCTGCTGCTTGCTGCTGCTTGCCTGCTACTTGCTGCTGCTTGCTGCTGCTTGCTGCTGCTTACCTGTTGCTGCTGCTTGCCTGCTGCTTGCTGCTCCATGCTGCTGCTTGCTGCTACTTGTTGCTACTTACCTGCTGCTGCTCACCTCCTGCTGCTCAGCTGCTGCTCACCTGCTGCTCACCTGCTGCTCACCTGCTGCTCACCTACTGCTTGCCTGTTGTTGCTGTTCCTTGCTGCTCCTTGCTGCTCCTTGCTGCTCCTTGCTGCTCCTTGCATTCCTTGCATTCCTTGCATTCCTTGCATTCCTTGCAACCCTTGCAACCCTTGCTGCTGCTTGCTGCTGCTTGCTGCTGCTTGCTGCTGCTTGCTGCTGCTTGCTGCTGCTTGCTGCTGCTTGCTGCTGCTTGCTGCTGCTTGCTGCTGCTTGCTGCTGCTTGCTGCTGCTTGCTGCTGCTTGCTGCTGCTTGCTGCTGCTTGCTGCTTGGTGCTGCTTGGTGCTGCTTGGTGCTGCTTGGTGCTGCTTGGTGCTGCTTGGTGCTGCTTGCTGCTGCTTGCTGCTGCTTGCTGCTGCTTGCTGCTGCTTGCTGCTGCTTGCTGCTGCTTGCTGCTTGCTGCTTGCTGCTTGCTGCTTGCTGCTTGCTGCTGGCTGCTGGCTGCTGGCTGCTTGCTGCTTGCTGCTTGCTGCTTGCTGCTTGCTGCTTGCTGCTTGCTGCTTGCTGCTTGCTGCTTGCTGCTTGCTGCTTGTTGCTGCTTGCTGATTGCTGCTGCTTGCTGCTTGCTGCTGCTTGCTGCTGCTTGCTGCTGCTTGCTGCTTGCTGCTTGCTGCTTGCTGCTTGCTGCTTGCTGCTTGCTGCTGCTTGCTGCTGCTTGCTGCTGCTTGCTGCTGCTTGCTGCTGCTTGCTGCTGCTTGCTGCTGCTTGCTGCTTGCTGCTTGCTGCTTGCTGCTTGCTGCTTGCTGCTTGCTGCTTGCTGCTGCTGCTGCTGCTGCTGGTGCTGGTGGTGGTGCTGCCTGGCTGCTGCTGGCGGCTCCTGGCTGCCTGGCGGCTCCTGGCGGCTCCTGGCTGCCTGGCTGCTGCTGGCGGCTCCTGGCTGCCTGGCTGCCTGGCTGCCTGGCTGCCTGGCTGGCTGCCTGGCTGCCTGGCTGCCTGGCTGCCTGGCTGCCTGACTGCCTGGCTGCCTGCCTGGCTGCCTGGCTGCCTGGCTGCCTGGCTGCCTGGCTGCCTGGCTGCCTGGCTGCCTGTCTGCCTGGCTGGCTGCCTGGCTGCCTGGCTGCCTGGCTGCCTGGCTGGCTGCCTGGCTGCCTGGCTGCCTGGCTGGCTGGCTGGCTGCCTGGCTGCCTGGCTGCCTGGCTGCCTGGCTGCCTGGCTGCCTGGCTGCCTGCCTGGCTGCCTGGCTGCCTGGCTGCCTGGCTGGCTGGCTGGCTGGCTGCCTGGCTGCCTGGCTGCCTGGCTGCCTGGCTGCCTGGCTGCCTGGCTGCCTGGCTGGCTGGCTGGCTGGCTTGCTTGCTGGCTTGCTGGCTTGCTGGCTTGCTTGCTGGCTTGCTGGCTTGCTGGCTGGCTTGCTGGCTTGCTGGCTTGCTGGCTTGCTGGCTTGCTGGCTTGCTGGCTTGCTTGCTTGCTTGCTTGCTTGCTTGCTTGCCTGCGTGCGTGCGTGCGTGCGTGCGTGCCTGCGTGCCTGCCTGCCTGCGTGCCTGCGTGCCTGCGTGCCTGCGTGCCTGCGTGCCTGCGTGCCTGCGTGCCTGCGTGCTGTTGCTTCCTCCTGCTGCTGCTGCTGCTTCCTCCTGCTGCTGCTGCCGCTCGTGCAAACAGTTTGCCGAAACAGAAAATAACAGTCTCGGTCGCCTTGTTTGGCGCTGACGGGAGGTACGGGCGGGAGACACCAGCAGAGAGAGGGAATGTTTCTGGCTGGTTGGACTGAAACATTGCGGTCGCATAGCGCGGTTGTGTCGCTGTGCTCACCATCTCCGCCATCTCGCACCATCTCGCAAGACGGCGCAGACGGCAAGACGGCGCAAGACGGAACAGACACAACAGACGGCGCAGACGGAGCACCGACAAAACCTGCCACGCTTTCCGCCCGCAATGGAATGAAGGTTTTGCTACAGCTAACCCACTTGCATTGCAAGAAATTTGAGGCTGTACCAATAGGGGTTTGATTTGGTCACGCGACGCAGGACATCAATATAATATATTCAAATCCAATAGGATTAGCTGCCGAGAATTTGTTTGTATTAACTTGTGCCCTTCAAAATCATCGCTGTGCGCAATGCTTCGGCTACTTTTAACTACATCTCCAAGTATGGATGAAACAGGCTGTGCCATGGTGATTCTTCTTCCCTGATGTGACTTTCCGCTACCTGATGTGACTTTTCCGTATCGCCGCCGTGCCATGGGGATGATGTGACTTTTCCCGCCTGATGTGACTTAAGTACGGTGCTCGTAGCTGGGAAAATCATGTATTTCTATGGGCCATTTTCCATGGCGAACTATTAAATAACCGGAGGGTATTAGAAAGAACCAAAAACAGGTAATCCCTTCCTCCTAATACTAAACCCCCCCTAATACAAAACACGGCAGGTAGTTTTTAGTATTAGGGGGGTATTTATTATTAGGGAACCAAATCGAAGTCATGTTAATTAATTAATTAATTAATTAAATTTCCTTATAACGCAATTAAAATATTGCCAAAAATGGCAGTTCGAAGCTTACCCCTAATACTAAATTATAACCCTTAATACTAAAAACTATTTTTTCCGATCTCAAAATCAATTAAATTTCCTTATATAACGCAATTAAAATATTGCCAAAAATGGCAGTTCGAAGCTTACCCCTAATACTAAATTATAACCCTTAATACTAGAAACTATTTTTTCCGATCTCAAAATCAATTAAATTTCTTTATATAACGCAATTAAAATATTGCCAAAAATGGCAGTTCGAAGCTTACCCCTAATACTAAATTAAAACCCTTAATACTAAAAACTATTTTTTCCGATCTCAAGATCAATTAAATTTCTTTATATAACGCAATTAAAATCTTGCCAAAAATGGCAGTTCGAAGCTTACCCCTAATACTAAATTAAAACCCTTAATACTAAAAACTATTTTTTCCGATCTCAAAATCAATTAAATTTCCTTATATAACGCAATTAAAATATTGCCAAAATGGCAGTTCGAAGCTTACCCCTAATACTAAATTAAAACCCTTAATACTAAAAACTATTTTTTCCGATCTCAAAATCAATTAAATTTCCTTATATAACGCAATTAAAATATTGCCAAAAATGGCAGTTAGAAGCTTACCCCTAATTGCTAGAGTAGCTAGGCAGCTTGGAGTGAGGGATTGGGACTAGGCCCCCTAATACTAAACACCCCGGGGTGAACTAGTTTTTAGTATTAGGGGGGAGAACCCACAAATGGTAGGTTGATTTTTAAATTGTTTTTTAAAGGGGATCAATTAAAAGTCAAATTGGCCAAACTGAAATTTTCGGAAATTGGAGATGGATGCCTGTTTTTAGTATTAGGGGGACGTTTAGTATTAGGAGGAAGGGATTAGTTGGGCACAAGGATCCAGATGGACCAGCGGCCAATGGCCAGATGGCCAGATGTCTTGAGGCGACCTTGCCATGGAAAGATCCACCATGCTATTAATAGCTAAACCATCATAAACCATCTATTTCTATGGGCCATGGCTACCATGGCGAACTGTTAGTCATAACCAGAGAGTAACACATGTTAACAATCATTGGTTCATCTTGGTCCTATTTTGGTGCTATTCCTATGTTTCTTCGAGAATGTCGAGTCCAGTGATAGCGGCTCCCGGGGCTCCATGAGGTTCTTGGATGGGACACCTTGGCGGTTTTCTCTCCGTTTCCAATACCAACATATGATGCACAGGGGATTCGAAAAAAGGCTGCTGGTGTTGAAAACATGTGTTTTTTTCCCCACCTGCCAGGTGATGGTTGTTAGATTTTATCAGAGCTGTTCTCCTCCTCCTCCGCCTCCGCATCCTCCTCCTCCTCATCGCAGTCCAGATCCCAGTGGGCACTGCCGGACCTCAACCGCGAGTTGCAGATCGCAGTGGGCACTGCCGGACCTCCACCGCGAGCTCAAGATCCCAGTGGGCACTGCCGGACCTCAACCGCGAGCTCCAGATCCCAATGGGCACTGCCGGACCTCAACCGCGAGCTCCAGATCGCAGTGGGCACTGCCGGACCTCAACCGCGACTTCCAGATCGCAGGGCACTGCCGGACCTCAACCGCGACTTCCAGATCGCAGTGGGCACTGCCGGACCTCAACGGGAAGAATGTGAGAAAAGATGTCAGATAGAATGTCAGAAGATATGCCAGATAGAATGCCAGAAAGAATGTCAGAAGATATGCCAGACAGAATGTCAGAAGATATGCCAGAAAGAATGTCAGAAGATATGTCAGATAAAATGTCAGAAGATATGCAGATAGAATGCCAGAAAGAATGTCAGAAGATATGCCAAATAAAATGTCAGAAGATATGTCAGATAGAATGTCAGAAGATATGCCAGATAGAATGCCAGAAAAAATGTCAGAAGATATGCCAGATAAAATGCCAGATAGAATGCCAGAAGATATGCCAGATAGAATGCCAGAATATTTGCCAGATAGAATGCCAGATAGTATGCCAGAAGATATGCCAGAACATATGCCAGAAGATATGCCAGATAGAAAGCCAGAAGATTTGCCAGATAGAATGCCAGAAGATGTGCCAGAAGATATGCCAGAACATATGCCAGAAGATATGCCAGATAGAATGCCAGAAGATATGTCAGATAGAATGCCAGAAGATTTGCCAGCAAGAATATGTATAAATGTCATGGTGGGGATCATTCGAAGTGAAGTAATTCTTGACTAACCGGCCTGGGGTGTTGATCCCCAACTGACTTTCATATCTTGGGGTTGGGTTGAATCAATCCATTGAAATTCTGATGTTTGCTGGCTAGTTGGATCATTACTTCTGTTAGATAAAATGTGTGTTAATCACCCACACTATATATACATATATATATACATATATTTAAATGTCATTGAAATTCGTTTGAAATCATTCTTCGAAATTAACAAAAATAGTTTCCTTCCACTTAAAACCACTTAAACTAATCATTACTGTCGCTTTTTTCAAGCAGCTTTGGTCGCCAGGAGCCCCGAGTCCTTCTCCTTGGAATTCGTACTGAACCAAGCACTGGACCAGACCGTCGCATGTCCAATGTCTATGTGGAAGGCGACTTGGCGCCGTGCGGATAGCCACGGATACCCCCAGTGGCTCCCCAAGTTGATCTAAGAAATCACATCGGGGACCCAAGAAAGCCCATTTGGCTTGGTCAATCTTAGATGGGTAGAAACTAATTCTTTAGTCACTTAGTCTTTTGGCATCAATGGGATTATCTAGTAACCAGCTAAGAATTTGTCATTTTTGGCAGGGTATCTAAGATTGGCCATGATGTGGGTTTAAATACCGTTTAAATACCAAATTACTTTGCTTCGAGTGATCCCCACCATGACATTTCAAAACAGCTTGTTGACACCACTTTTGTCTGAAGCTTTTGTCACGGGACTTTTGCCCAACTAACTATCCCAATCACTCGTTGATGTAAAAACATCATGCTACCATAGCTGTGATACACATCGACGCTACCATAGAATGCCAGATAGAATGCCAGAAGATATGCCAGATATAATGCCAGAAGATCTGCCACATAGAATGCCAGAAGATATGCCAGATAGAATGCCAGAAGATATGCCAGATATAATGCCAGAAGATATGTCAGAATATATGCCAGAAGATATGCCAGATAGAATGCCAGAAGATATGTCAGATAGAATGCCAGAAGATATGCCAGATAGAATGCCAGAAGGTTTGCCAGATAGAATGCCAGAAGATATGCCAGAAGATATGCCAGATTCTATCTTTGTAACTTTCTTCTGCACATTCTTTGTCCCATATCTTCCTACATGAGGTCCGGCAGGGAACACTTGGCATGGATACTCGCGGTTGAGGTCCGGCAGGGAACACTGGGCGTGGATGGCCGTGGTGGAGGTCCGGCAGGGACCACTGGGCGTGGATGGCCGTGGTTGAGGTCCGGCAGGGAACACTGGGCGTGGATGGTCGTGGTTGAGGTCCGGCAGGGAACACTGGGCGTCGATGGTCGTGGTTGAGGTCCGGCAGCGAACACTGTGGATCGCGAGTCGCAGTTGAGCAGGAGGACGAGGAGGACAACGAGACGAGGAGGACAACGAGACGAGGAGGACAACGAGAGGAGGACGACGAGAGGAGGAGGAGAGGAGGAGAGGAGGAGGCAGGCAGGAGGAGGAGAAGGCAACTTAGATAAAATCTAACAACCCTCACCTGGCAGGTGGGGAAAAACATGTTGTTTGTTTGGAAGTCATTTAAGATAAGAGACTTCTGTATACTTCAACAACTGAGAATCCCTTTTTTGAACCTCTGGTTATTTTCGTTCGTATAGCCATTGCCAGGCGAGCCTCTCTATCCCTGCGTGAGTTTCTGTACCAACCATCCCGGTGGCGTCCCCAGCTGGCCCAAGGCACACTGATTTTTCAGCAAAGGAGACAATAGGATTTATAGAATATTTATAGAATATTTTTAAAATATTTAGAATATTTGAGGTTACCTTAGATCGATGGCCTTACCTTAGATGATGATTTTAGATGACCTTAGACTCTTAGATGATTTGTTTTATGGTTTTTAGATTTACCATGGACTATGGGCAACCTCATATTTCAGCACCTTCAATCCAAAACACCGAAGCCTAAAGTGGACCGCTTGCAACCCCTGGGTTCGGTCACCCCCAATGCAAAGTCATAGCTGGCAGCTGCTGATGTTACTTTGATTATTTGTCAGAAAAAAACACAAGTGCAAGCTCACCCTTTTTGTTGCCTAGATGTAAACTGCCATGAAGCTTCAACTATCCATTGGAACATCATGTGCCAGTGAAGGTATTCCATTTGAAGTAAGTCAATGGCTATAAAACAAGTTGGGCACCACCATTGGGAGCCCATCAGGCATGACCTGGACATATTGGTACACAGCTCATTCAGTTAAAAAATCTTCCGAAGGAACTAACATAGATATTGTCGTTCTTTCCCCGGTTCTTGATAGTTAAATCATGTTAATTCCCATACGTTTACGTTTGATTGTTGGATCCCATATGTTTGAGAATTTCTGAGGTTGTCAGGCAGAAGTCACTCACCTTGGAGGGCCACCCGAGGCATGGCCCGGGCAGGATGAATTGCGGATTGATGTTTATTGATGTTTATTGTTTTTGAACGGGAATCATAAAGGGATTTATATCAACATGTTTATTGATGTCGTTGATGTTTATTGTTTTTGAAGTTTCCGCATACTCACTTTTCATACGCCACTATTTTTGAAAGGGATGGGGAGTGCTTGAGTATACTTGAGAATACTTTTTGGGAACTGGGCATACCCTGCAAGCCTTCGACCAATAGAAATGGGTTATACCAAACCGCTGCCGGGCTGCCAGAAAGTCACTAAGCCTTACGGAGCATTCCTTGAAGTATATATTTCAAACATTTTGAAACCAGAACAGTGCCCAACCTATAATAGGGATCTATAAAATGGAAAACGCCGCCCAAATGGATATTTGGTCAAATTAAGCTTTGATGCACCCGAGCCAATTGCAATTACCCTGCCTGATAAATGAACAAGACAACGACAGAGAAATCGATGGGTTTTCCGTGTTCATCCGTTTTGTTCATGGAATGTAATAGGGACCTCCTGACCAGTCATGGGGCGAATCTTTGCCAAAGACAGTTAGGATTGATGGATCGGAAAGTTCGGAGGATGAGTTTCCACAGGGTTCCACCGAAGCGTGCAATTTTGATGGCTTCAAAGTTCTCGAGTTTTCCCTGAAAACATCCGGGTCGTCCCGACTTCGTGCCAGGACATCCGACCGTTCGATGAGAAGATGAAGATGGATCCCACATTTTTCCTGCGGCCCGAGTTGCCGGAGTGATGGGGAAAACCACCAGTTGTGCCGCCAAGATCCCTGACCAAATGAAGGCCGATTTGGCTTGGTCAATCTTAGATGAGTAGTTTGATCCTACAGTCTTTTGGTATCAATGGGAATATCTAGTAGCAAGCTAAGATTTTTTTGGGGGGGGCAGGGTATCTAAGATTGGCCATGTTAGTAAGGATGTAAAAAGGTGGGGGTTGACCGCAAAAAACAAAGCATATGTGGAGAGTGAAGTTAGCTAAGCATGGGGTAAGGCAGTAGAATCTGACTAGTGGACTGGTTGATGTTCACAAGCATATCTCAATGTCCAATCAGAAATCGGCATGATTATGATCCCGGCAGTATGTAGCTAATAAATGGGAATATGATTGCTTTGGAGTTTCAGGATGTTTCAGGCAGTTTCAGGTTTTTGGGTTCGCATTCCAGTGCATCTGTTACCATTTTGAAGGGAAAACATACATTACCCTCCGAAATACCCTCAGCTGATAAGGCAAACGCTTCACATTTTGGAGAGTTTCCTTCCTGAAACAAACATGTCATTTAGCAACAGAAAGGGAGCTACTGCTGAGCTTGGAAATGGCTGTTTCATATAGGATTTTGGTCCGGCTGTTGCCAGGAAATGATCAGGAAAATGTTGGGACAGGGGTGGCCCAGCCATGACCAGTCCGATGTGCAAACGACAGGGGAGTGTCCGGAAGTTTGGGCCGACGAGCAGGTCCATTCCCAGCATTTCCCAGCCCAAAAAATGTATAAAAATGTCACATTGCCAAAGATCCGGGCACTACACTGTGCAGTTGGCTTTTCCTGCCCAAAGTGTGCAGTTTCAGAGCGGTGAAAAGTTAAAAGCTGCGTGCCTCCAGAAAAATCAGAGAGATATGAAATTGGACGTCTTCAAGTGTTTCTGGGATGGTTTGCCTTACAACTATCGCCCATAGTCAGTTGACCTGTTTGTTTTCATCCAAGCTAAGGGGAAACGCCTTGTTTTGCGCTTCTGAAGGCGTCTTGCAGTTGCTGATTTGTTTATATACAGAGTTTTTTGGGCAGATGACAAACTGACCTCACATTTGTTGGTTCTTTTCCTTCCCTGAGATTATCGAAGAATGTAACCAATACTTCGGGGAATTAATCCTCTCACGTGCAGTGGATAGTGATGGTTAACAGGGGGCAATTTTTTTCACGATGATTCTGGTGGGGAGTGTTTGAGCTTGGCCAAATTTCGGTTTTCATTACGACCTACTCACCGGGGTGCAGTTCCACTAAACGAGATACATTGCCATAATTATGGTGGTTACCCTCTGGTAAACGTTTACATAGCTATGGAAGATCACCATTTTCAATGGGTAAATCCACTATTTCTATGGCCATTTTCAATAGCTATGTTAAATTACCAGAGGGTATATTGAAACTTATACGGATTATAACATATTATAACATATTATAACCCTAGGCCCTAGTTCTACCTATCCAGCACCAGAACTGCACCCCCAAGTGGCTACCCTACGCATCTGTGAGGTTGAGCCCTATGGGCTCCTTGCTTCGATGGCTGTGTCAGACTCAGACGAACCCGGATGATATCCAAGTAATGTTTGCAACCCCTCGCCTACAATCAACATACCCCATATGCTCCATGTCTTGAATATTTTTCAAGATTTACAGTACCCAAGAAATACATGGAGCATATGGATATATCAACATCCCTTCAGAAGCCTTGTTTACTAATGTTTAGCAATGAATCTCTTCATTTTGGGGTCGCATATTGGATGTGATTGTTGGGGATGTCATTAATTTAAAATTTAGAAGTGGGATGTTTGACGTCATTGTCATTGGCAGGAGCTTCCCGTTGCAGCTGACCTCATATAGTGAAGGCGAGCGTCCTGGCCAGATATCCAAATGGGAGAAACAATCATTACCATACTGTGGTCCTATTTGTTAGTGTTTGCATGGTTTAGATGCCAGGTATGAACACATTTTATTTTTTATATGTTTAGCTCACAATCTATCTACCTAATCTAGTCTAACCTAATCCAATCGAATCAAATCCAATCTAATCTACTCTAATCTATTTAATCGAACCTTATCTAGCCTTATCTTTGCTAACCCAATCCAATCCAACCCAATCAAATCAATCTATCTATTTACTCTGCTCTACTCTACCCTGCGCTACTTTACTCTATCCTACCCTACACTCTGCACACTCTACACACTCTACACACTCTACACACCCTACACACTCTACACACTCTACACACTCTACACACTCTACACACTCTACACACTCTACACACTCTACTCCCCTCTACTCCCCTCTACTCCCCTCTACTCTCGTCTACTCTACTATTCTAGTCCTTTCTATTGTTTTTGTTTCTATGCTAGTCTCTTCTAGCATCTTCAAGTCCATTTTATTGTCTATTCTATTCTAATTTATTTACCTATTTGTTGTACCTATCTATCTATCTGTCTGTCTGTCTGTCTGTTTGTCTGTCTGTCTTCTGTCTGTATTCTGTCTGGCTGTATTCTGTCTGTCTGTATTCTGTCTGTCTTTCTGTCTGTCTGTCTGTCTATGTATATCTATCGATCTATCTATCTATCTATCTAGTATCTATCTATCTTTCTTTCGAAACAGTCGTGAACTTACTCCTACCTACCTACCTACCTGCCTGCCTGCCTGCCTGCCTACCTACCTACCTACCTAACTACTCCGAGGTTGCTGGCAGCTCCTGCTTGTGAGGGCCCCCAGATAGAAGTACTTGTGAGGGCCCCTAGAAGAAGAGGGGCAAAAAATCTAACCATCCAAGGGAGAGAACTATTGGCTACCCAGGACCTACACGTGATTATACATGTATAATCATGTGTATTTATAAAGTATGACCTGAGGATTTAACATGATGTATATAAATAATTAGAACATGGATGTATATAAGAATAATCCAACCATTTACTATCAACGAATTAAATTAACCAATGAATATGAGTTTGTTTGAAGTGGGCTACCCTCAAAAAAGAAAACTGTTGGTTTGTATATCCGATTTTCTCTCCTTGAAATTCAAATTCTTGGGTAGATTCCACATCTTCAGACACATCTGTAGTATGGATGAAATCATGAACAATACATTTACATGCCAATTGTCTTTAAGATTAAGTTAAAGCATCCAAACAACGTGAGATTACCCAGCGAGATACACAGCACAACCTCGAGGCCCTTTTAAGCTCATCGATTTTAAGTGCTCCGCTTCCGCGCCAGTTTTGACATCGACGCCATGGCATTCACTCAGAAGTCCCGTGGCCGTGGCATTCGCGGAGCTTTGTTGGTGGCCATGTGCTTGTGCAGCCTGTGGACACTAGGGCTGAGGTGGTGGGGTCACGGTAGGTTGAAGGCCTCCCTTTTGCCACTGGCAAGTGGGGACGGTCTCAGGGTGGTCCTAGGGGATGGTCAAGACCGGTGTGTGCAGAGATTGCCATGTGCAAAGTTTTTGACCCGTTCCCAGTGCAAAACAGCGAGCTTAAAAAAAGGAGGATTGATGTCACTTTTGTTTGTTTGTTGAACCATTATTCTTGAACATGCCCTAAAGTTGTGGATGTTGTGGCACCTTGACGACTTTTTACCAGTGAATTTACGGCCGTTTGTAAGGATCACAACAAGCACCAGTTTCTGGATGTTTATGCAGAGAAATGAAATTTGACGAGCGGGCATGGCTCACAGATCACCAGCAAAGTCTAAAAATATAACAGCATGGACAGGAGTTTCTTCATAGGGGTACCACATCCCTCGGATTTGTTTTTGTATGTGTTTGTATCTTTTGGTCATGGGGCTTCCATTTGAAAGCTCCGCAATCATTGGGATTCCAGAAGCCCCTAACAAGGTTGGATGCTAGTAAACCATCCCTTCCTTGAGGTTCAGTATGATTCAGTTAAAGGTCAGAAAGGAGACTATAATACAACTATTAAATTTCACGAGCTCCTGGGATTTTGTGATTTTTAGGGATTATTGGATATCAAGGTCAAGATGCAATATTTGGTGCAGTGTACGCGCACAAGGGTGGCACCAAAAAACTTAAGCGTCATGGTTTGCACGGGTTTGCACTGGATCAGCCTTCCATAAATGGAAGTGGTCCAATTAATCGTTCAGAAAAAATGAAACGGTCGGAAACGGTCGGAAACAGTCGGAAACGGTCGGAAACATGATCAGGCCAAAACTTGTTCAACCCGCATTTTTTTTTTAATAAGCATTTCCGCGCAACGCCGTTTTTTTTTGAAGGTCCAAAGGTGTCCAAGGGGAAACGGTTGGAAACAGTCGGAGATCGCACCTTCGCTCGGCAAAAAAGACATGTTTTCAAACAATTTGCAAACATTTTTCATGAACATATGCTACAAAACAACTACTTTTTTGCCGAGCGAAGGTGCGATCTCCGACTGTTTCCAACCGTTTCCCCTTGGACACCTTTGGACCTTCAAAAAAAAAACGGCGTTGCGCGGAAATGCTTATAAAAAAAAAATGCGGGTTGAACAAGTTTTGGCCTGATCATGTTTCCGACCGTTTCCGACCGTTTCCGACTGTTTCCGACCGTTTCATTTTTTCTGAACGATTAATTGGACCACTTCCATTTATGGAAGGCTGATCCAGTGCAAACCCGTGCAAACCATGACGCTTAAGTTTTTTGGTGCCACCCTTGTGCTCGTACACTGCACCAAATATTGCATCTTGACCTTGATATCCAATAATCCCTAAAAATCACAAAATCCCAGGAGCTCGTGAAATTTAATAAATACAACCATACTTAGAGGAGATTATAGGAGTAATATATATCCCAACTTGTGGGAGTCATTGCCCACTGACCTCAACTGATCTGCGGATCGCATTTCCAAGGAGCTTGACTTCTCGCACCTTCACGGAGACGCAGGAAGTCACTCAGGATGCCTCGGGTCTTGTGACTTGTGCTTGGTCACGTAGTGCATCCACCACTCATTGTATACATGTTGCTTAATACATATGCATCATCATTTATCATTACTGTGTGTGTTTTAATACAAATATATGCAATATAATTATATAATTTTGTTTTTATTATATATCAACATATATTTGTTTGCGTAATTGTGTATGTGTATATGTGTGTGTGGTCATTAGTGTTCTTATTATTATCATGTTTATTTTTATTGTTAAAATTATTATTATTATTGTTATTATTATTGCTTTTTGAATATTATTGTTTTTAATTTTGCTATTATATATTACTTATTACTATACAATATTGTATGGTACACACATATATATATAATATGCATGCGCGCATATGTCAAATCATTTTATGGAAGGCAAATGCACCAGCACCTATGGCTATGGTATCTCCTGTGCCGGTTGTGCCCTGTAACCCGGGTCAATTGGGTGGTTAGCAACTCAGTGGGCTAGTTGTTTGGTGGGTAGATATGCTCTAACAGCAAATACATTTTATGCATGTTTAAACATGTTTTTTTCAATGTTTATATATGTTTTTCCGCAATGAGCAAAATGTGAGAAAAACATATTTTTTAAGGTAAAATTCGCAATTTGGCGATGCGCAACTCAGTTGCCAAAGGAATCACTGCTGTATTTTTGTAGGTTTTGTGTACCAACTCCAGGTGAAGTTGGTGGGTGGGCACCCACTGATCTTCACCTTCCTTTCCATGGCTTTGTGCGGTGCCCTGTGCTACACAGAGAACTCCACCACTGCCAAGCTGGACTTCGACAAACGTCGCTTTGCGAGTTGAAATATGTTAAGGTATGTTAAGGTTGCCTAAGCAAACAAAAATGGCAGTTGCAATATAGATCGCATTTTTTGCTTATGTTCTTCATATATCTGACCTCGCAGGGATGTCACCAGACATGATGAGCAACGCTGTCTATGGAGAAAGAGAGACAATAAAGTGCATAGGGGATATCAACAAGAATCCCAAGCAGTGGTGTAAATATGTTTTCTCTTGCCACCCCCGAGGTTGTTTACCAAAAATGCACTCGCTACCATTTTTCCGCTATTGTATATGTCGTATCCCTAAATGTGAAGACGTCGATGGTGATGATGAGCTCTGGCTGATCAACACAGAAGTGGCTGTTGCTTTCCCATGTAGGTTTTGAATGGTTTTGAATCGTCAGAGGATCCCTGACATGGATAGTATTTCTGGACCAGCCGAAAAATGCCCACAAACTATAAAGGTGACTATTTCACCTTTC